ACAACCCTTTATCTGGGATTATTTCCTTCACGAGGATGCATGTATATTCACAATCCTTACATGTGAGTATATATTCTGTGCTTGTATGTATACATTTCTTATGTGCATGTATGTATTCTGTATGTACACACATGCATGTGTGTTTTGTGTGCACCTTATGTATATATTCAGTGTGCATGTATATGTGCATGTGTATTACACACATGTACATGAATGTACATTCTCAGTGTGCATGTGCACATGTACATGTATATATCCTATATGTGTATATAGGTGTATGTTTGTGTGGATACACATGTCTGTATCCTGTGTGTGCATATACTCCATGTGTGTATGCACATATAAGTATACATGTCTATATTCTGTGTACATACATGTTTATATTCTACATGTGCATATATGTCATGCGTTCATGTGTGTATTCCATGCATGGGTGTATATATGTGAATATTCTGTGTGTGCATGTAGAGATGTATGTGTTGCCTTCCTGTCTGTGCCCATGAGTGCATTCCTAATGTGTGCGTGTCTGTGTGTGCCCTTTAGCACCCTTACCTAGATGGAGGAAAGGACTCTGACACCATCATCTGTCTCTTCTGAGGCATGGCGCAGGGAACCCCATTTGCCGAGGAGCAATCCCATGGAGCCCGGTGCCTACTCTCTCTCCTAGGACAGCCCCTGTTCAATGCCCAACTCCCCTCAGCCCTGTGGGTGGCATCTGTGTAGTGTAGCACTTCCTCACCCCGCTGAAACACTAGAGTTAGCCAGCACAGTGCCACCCTCACCGGGGGCAGGTGGATAGGTCTGCTGTCAGGAGCCCCGAGCAGGCAGGAACAGGCCCCTCTCCACTGCATTCTGATCTAGGGAACATGACCGCCTCTCTTCTCTGTCCCCTCCCTCCGTAGCCTAGGAGCTGGGGCAGTCAGACCCACATCAGAGTCTCCTGCATGGTGGTGGCATCATAAGCACAGGCACCCTAAAATGTGTGTTTATGCCTGTGGTCTGCACACGGCCTCTCTCCAGTACAGTTGAAAACATGCTCATATTTGGTATTAAGTAAAAATGCATGGGACACAGAGCCCACATGTGCAGAAGGCCCTCATCTGCAGCTTCTAGCACTGACCTGGGTGGGCCCAAGGAGAGGGGTGATAGACACTGGCCAACTACCATGAGGCATCTTTGCCACTCAAAGCACCCGTCCTGTGGTGTTTGTGGCATTCCCTGAGTCACCCACCCGCCAGCTCTTCCTCTCCCAAATCTGAAACTAACCACTGAGTGCTACCACCTTGCCTCCGGTGTCCCGTGCTGTGTGGACATCTCTTCAGGCCCCGTTTTTGGTTCTTTTAGCGCATATCCAAAGCTAGAGTTACAGGACCCTGGGCCTGTGCTGGATTCTGAGGAGACGCCACACTACCTTCCAGCAGATATCTGCTGACTTGAAGAAGGTGGAGGCGGCCTGGTGGGGCGTGGGCTCCTGCCCCGAGACCTCAAACTCTCTTCTCACATTGCAGAGGGCCCCGTGGTACAGCCGGCTAGCCGGAGATCCACCCCACAGATGGCACAACCGGAGCCCAGGGCTGGCAGAGAAGTCCCGGTCAGCAGGCGGAGGAGACACCCGGATGAGCCTGGCCAGTTTGCCGTTGCCCTGGTCATCATTTACCGGACCCTGGGCCAGCTGCTTCCTGAGCACTATGACCCGGACCGCCGCAGCCTCCGGTGAGGCCCGGTTGCAGGGAATATGAGAGGGCCTGTTTCCACAGAGGACTGTGGCCTCCACAAGTCAGTCTTAATCACTCACCATTGTTCACAGTGACATCATACTTGACCCTTCGGTGACCCCTGTAGGGGTTCTGGGTCTGCCAGATCAGTGCTGTGCCCTGGGTTAGTACATGCCCTTTGCGTCAGCTTATGTAACCACTTGTGCCCACGGTGGCCCCTGTGTTTGTACTGTCTTATGTCTCCTGTCTTCCACACCTGGAGGCCGTCATGGGTGGTGCCTGTGGTTGCCTCTGCCCTCTGCTGACCAAGGGGCATTCAGCCAGTGTGCTGGACACAGTGTGTGCTGGCCCGAGGAACCTTGCCCCCTGGCTAGAGGGCTGTACCCCCTCATTTTCCGCATCATGCTTAGAGATGGTTGACGGGGCCCCAGGCTATGATCCCTTCCCCTGGTTTCCTATGCTGGCCCTGTGCTCGACGTTACCGCTGCATGTCACAGCTTCCAACATCCTTGCATGGGTGCCCTCTCTTTGGTCTTAGGTTTCTAAAGCCCCCTTCCCCTGGAGGTAACAAGTCTCCTTGCATTTTGAGAACACAGACACCGAAGCCCGGGCCCTCCCAAAGGCAGCGCTCTTCCCAAGGCCTGTGCCTCAGTTGCTCATCTGAAGTGTCTAGACTCAGGTTTTAAAGGAACATGACTTAATCATGTGTGTTCCTGTGATCTTCCCTCCCTGCTACAGGCTGCCTAACCGGCCCGTCATCAACACCCCAGTGGTGAGCGCCATGGTGTACAGTGAGGGGGCTCCACTCCCTAGCCCCCTGGAGAGGCCTGTCCTGGTGGAGTTTACCCTGTTGGAAACTGAGGAGCGAAGCAAGCCTGTGTGTGTGTTCTGGAATCACTCCCTCGAGTAAGTGCAACCCCAGGAGCCGTGGGCACCTCTGCAGGGAGGGCTTGCCTTTGTATGGAAGGGCCTTCCAGTCCTGAAGGCTCACTTGGCTTCCAGCTTAAAGAGACATGAGGTTTCCCACCTTTTGCCTCTAGAAGTCAGCGTGTGCCCCCACACACGTGTACACACACACATACATAAAGTCATGCACACATGGAAGGATCAGTCATGTCCACATTGATCTACACACACACAAATGTGTACATATGATTTATCTGTGTGTATTCATGTGAAGACATGTAGACAGGCACAGGCATGTACACACATGCAGGAGCACATGTGGAAATGTGGACGTGTACACATGTGCATACAACATACTCATGCAGAAATAGACGTGCATACGCAGGGCTCCCTCAAGAAGGCTGTGGCATAGATGGCGTGCTCATCTGTAGGACACCTGAGATGCAGTGGCCACCAGGAGCAACCCTTGTCTGCCAGGACAGCAAGGGCCACTTGGAGGAGTGGGTGGGACTCAGAGACCAGCCCGTGCAGAGGTGCTACAGTGCTGGTTCCAGGCTCACCCTCTGCAGCAAGGCTTGTTAACTATGTTTCTGGAGCCCACAGAGATGCTTCCAGAATGACTGACGTGAAGGGCTGTGCTGGGGCTGGAGAGATGGCTCAGCGGTTAAGAGCACTGGCTGCTCTGGTAGAGGGCCCAGGTTCAATTCCCAGCACCCACTTTGTGACTAACAACCGTCTTTAACTCCAGTTTTAGGGGATCAATGCCCTCTTCTGACCTCTGTGGGCATTGCATGATCCGGGTGCACTTGCCTACACGCAGGCAATATACTCATACACGTAAAATACAAATAAAGTAGTTAAAAAGAAAGAAAGAAAAATGGGCACTCGTATTTCCCTGTGCCTGTGCAACACTGGATTCAGAGGCTGGCAGCCTCTCTGTGGCTAAAGCCAGTGGGGTGGTGACATTTGTCTTTTGGCTTCCCGAGTGGTGTGAGGTGCTGTGCTGGGTGCTTCCTTCCCCCGCTGCTCAGTCTTGTTTTCGCTGTGCGTATTGGAGGATATGGGGTGGAATGGGGAACTGCTGGGACAGCCCTTGTCACCAGGCTTGGCACACAGTCTAGAATGTGAATATCACTGCTGCTCACACCGTGGTGAGCCTTTGGGGGGTCACTGCATGGGATTTAGGGGATCAGAGCCCAAGCCCTTTCCCCACACCTGAGGCTGGACAGAATGTTGTCTGTGGGATCCTTCCATGGGACATTCCCCACGTCATGGTTCCCCTGGATTGAGGCCGTGCACCCTTCCCTGCTCCTGTGCTTTCCAAATGCCAATTTACAAGCAAGCGTACTGAATCTGGGACATAATAGATCCTCAGCTCACAAAGGGAGAGTGAAAGGAGGCGTTGGCGTGTGGCGTGTGGGCCCCTGGCTGCCAGGCACGACACGGCTGTCTGTCCCTGGCCATTTGTTTGAATCCTGGTGATTAGCTGTAGCTCTAGTGATCTTCCCCCTGCTTTGTGTTGTTCCCATTATCCCCATGTCTGAGTGTTCCTGGCAGCCATCACACCCCATTTTACAGATGAGTAAACTGAGGATCAGAGGGGTTATAGGACTTTCCCAGAGCCAGAAAGGGCAGGGCCCTCGTAACTGCTTGTTATTTGGGGCCCATCAGTGAAACAAGAACACTAATTGGGCCCTGACTTCCAGGCGGCTCCTGTGAAACATTGTGTAAAGTGAACATGAAAGCGAACGATGAGCAAACATCTTTGCTGAGGCTCCGGAGGCCCGAAGAACAAAGTGGCTGTCTCAGCCTTAGCTGCTGCCTCTGGCCACGGTGTTTTCTTCTACTTGGCGTATAAACTTCAGACGTGCTAGTGAGAGCCTGGGTCAGCTACAAAAGAGAAAAGAGCTTTCACGTGGGCCGCCGTCCACAGAGACGGTGACAGTGGCCCTCGTCTTCGGTGTGGCGAGGCGGGCAGAGGTGCAGTGGGGACCATGGGTGGCCATTCTCTGTACGTTTTTCTTCCTTCCTGATCAAGTCCAGCAGTATCAGGACAGCCTTGAGACCCAGGGGCTGGCTGAAGGTGGCTTTGGAGCCATCCCATTGATGGAGGACCCAGCTTAGCCCTTTCCCCCTCTTCTCCATAGTGTCGGTGGAACAGGAGGGTGGTCAGCCAAGGGCTGCGAGCTGCTGTCAAGGAACCGGACCCACGTCACATGCCAGTGTAGCCACACAGCCAGCTGCGCGGTGCTCATGGATGTCTCCAGACGTGAGGTGGGCACTTCACAGCCACCCACCCCCCAGCAAGCCTGGGCATGAATCCCTGTAGCATCTGGAAGTTAGGCTGGTCCCCCCGAGACCCCCATCTTCCTTGTGAGTGTTGAACAATCTGAATGTGCCTACTGAAAGCCATGTTCTAAGAACTGGTTGAAGAGATCTAGAGAAAACCTTGTTAAAGGGTTTTAGGGTCTGGCAAGATGGCTCAGCAGGTAAAGGCATCTGCTGCCAAGCCTGGACATTTTAGAGTTCAATCCCCAGGACCCACATGGTAGAGAGAGAGAACTGACACCAGCAAGTTGTTCTCCGACCTCCACAAGTGCACCATGGCATGTCTAGGTACACACACAGACACACAAATAAATGTAATTTTAATTAAAAGGGGGTAATTTAGAACTTGGCATGGCTTGGAATTCCAGCACTTGGAAGGTGAAGGATTACTGTAAGCTCAAGGCCAGCTTAAGCTACAGAATTAGACCCTGTTCAAACAAATACGTAAATGTGTTTTCAAAGAACCTGGGTTATAAAGGTGTTAACTGTAAGGGTGTTGGGTGGCAAAGCCTTAGGCCCAGAAGCTCCTGGAATGTCACCTCCTTTCAGGGCAGGGCCCCCAGCCGCCTGTCTGTTAGCCTATGCTGTTTCTACACTGCTCTGGATGTGAAGGTCTGCCAGGCCACACGCTGGCCCCAGGGTCAGAGGGGTGAGGAGAGGAAGCCAGTGACAGGAGGGTGATGTTTGACCTCTGGCATCCTAAGCAGCCTGAGAATGTGAGCCAGGGTTGTGGTGTGGTTAATTGATGGCCTGGGGTAGTGGGCTTTTGAGCAGCTGAGTGGCCATGGCATACGGCTCTGTCACCAGCAGCACCTTCTAGAAGATACTGGAGAACCTTTTGCCCAAACCACTTAGGACTCTGAATCCTGATTAGGAATCACACTGTGTAAACTCACAGAAGGCTCACCCAGAGTGGCAATTCATTGCTGAGCTGTGTGATTAGAAATGGTGGTAAATCTCCTGTGTATTTTAGCTCATTTTAAAAAAAAAAGTCATGTTCATGTCTTTAAGAAGTGGATGGAGGGGCCGGAGAGATGGCTCAGCAGTTAAGAGCACTTACGGTTCTTGTAGAGGACCTGGGTTTGGTTCCCAGCACCCACATCAAGCAGCTTACAACCACCTGTGACTCCAGCTCTAGAGGATCTGATGCCTCTAACCCCCAGGAGCACCTACATTCATGTGGTACACATAAACTCATGTTGCCTTATACACATATGTAAAAACAGTGAAAGTAAATTTTAAAAAAGAAGTGGATGGAAAGAGATCTGGAAATTTAAAAAGTAAGTTGATCTGATATGAACAGAAACCCAGAGTTAATCCCCTGGTAGTCTCCCTGCAGCCCCAGCTGGCCTGGAACTATTTAAACCAGGCTGGCCTTGATCTCACAAAGATCTGCCTACCTCTGCTTCCCAAGTGCTGGGATTAAAGGTATGCACCACCACACCTGGCTCAGAAAACATATTTTTTAATGTGTCAAAATACACATCACATGTTTACCACATACGTGCAGCTTACGATGTTGGCGCATCCCCCTGTTGTGTGGCCTTTGCCGTCACCTGTCCCTAGAGCTCAGTCACTATCCCAGACCAGTCACCTGGTGTGCAGTTCTGTGCCATCCGTCATGAGAACCACCGTTCAGCACATTGATACACCAGACTTTGATACTATCCACCACGTATTTTGTCTGTGTTGTTCAAATACTCATTGGAGCCAGACCCCAACTTCTATCTTTACCAACCTGCCTGCAGCACGGGGAGGTTCTGCCCCTGAAGATCGTCACCTACGGTGCCCTGTCCTTGTCCCTGGTGGCCCTGCTGGTGGCCTTCATCCTGCTCTCCCTGGTCCGGACGCTGCACTCCAACATGCACAGCATCCACAAGAACCTCATTGGGGCGCTATTCTTCTCCCAGCTCATCTTCATGGTCGGGATCAACCAGACGGAGAATCCGGTGAGACCACTGCTCTCTCCAGCCTACCTTGGGCTTCCCCATGCCCTTTCACCTGGGTGTGCTATTATCTGGGTGTGCCGTCAGTGCACTGTCACTCAGGAGTGCTGTCGCCCTGGAATGCTGCTGCCACCGTGTGCTCCTAGTCTTCCAGCAAGGCCCGTGCGGTAGAGGTGTCCTGCTTGCCTTGTGAGGGTACTGCAGTTCAGCATTGTGCAGGGACTCCCACAGGAAGTTGAGGCTTTTGGGCCATGCTGGTGACCTCATGCCCTGTGGGGACCCTCCCTCCAAGGGCACCCATAGGAGCCACACCTGAAAGTCTAAGGGTCCCATAGACATTGTGTCTCACCCTCTTGACATAGACGCTAGTGATTCCATGGGTGGTTATAGTCATGTGCCAAATCCCAGAGTCCTGTGGGCTTCAGTTGAGCTTTAGCGGGCAGAACACCCTGGCAGTGCCGGGTCTTATGAGTGTCTGCAGTGGGCAGCCTCTTCCATGCCTGTGACAACCCTGGGCTTCTCTGGAGAGGGAGCGGTTTCTAGTTTTGGATGGAAGAATAGCACTTGCTCAGGGAGGAGGAGGGGAGGGAAGGAAAGACGGAACTTCCACTTGATCTGATTAAGAAAAGGGCTGTTGAGTTGTGTAGGCTCGTTGAGTGTTGCATGGGATCCTGGAGAACTGTGTGAACCCGTGGGGGTGTTGCAGAAGTGTGCAGGGGTCCTGGCTGCTCATGAGAGTTATGCACTCCACAGTGGGGTCACCAGGGTAGAGCAATGTCTAGGCCAGAAAGCCTCCAGTGTGTGCGAGGCTGGCATGCCGGGCCTGAACGTCCAGGGCAGCAGGGCACGGGGAGCTATAAGAAGCCCACGCACCAGGGCCAGTGAACTCCCCCACCCCCTTTGCCAGCAAGGCCTCATGAGGCATAGCCACTTGGGAGGGCCCTGGTCTCTGACACTGCTGAGTGGTGCAACTTGTCACTGAAGTTTTAAAGATGCCTCTCGGAAGAGACACTTGCAAGAGGCTTAAAGATTGTGAGTCACAGGTCTGAAGAGATGGCTCAGCAGTTAAGAGCACTGGCTGTTCTTTCAGAGGACCTGGGTTTGATTTCCAGCACCCACATGATGGCTAACAACTATTGATAACTCCAGTTCTAGGGGAATCCAACGCCCTCTTCTGACCTCCATGTGCATTGAACAACATTGGGTGCACTTACACACTCATAAAATGAAAATAATGTTTTTAAAAAAGATTGGGAGTCACAGGCCAGACATGGTGGTGCTCGTACCTTTAATCCCAGCACTTGGGAGGCAGAGGCAGGTGGATCTCTGTGAGTTCAAGGCCAGCCTGGTCTACAAAGTGAGGTTCAGTCTCAAAAAAAAAAAAGTTTGAGTCTCGAGAGTCTTGAGAGGCGGCACAGTGCTGGCCAGAATACACCAAAGGTCTCTGGTTATGAGCCTGAGGCTGGCTGAGGATGAATGGCCACACCAGGGACTAGAAACAGCTGCATAATGAGATGACCTACCCACAGGCCTGTTGTTTCTGTGAACCTAGCGAAGTAAGTATAAAATGTGTCTATAGAAGACACAGGTTCATTTCACAGCTCAAAGGAAATAGCTATGAATGCTAATGAGGAAAAATGTTCTGGAAATATCATACTGAAACTTGCAAGACCAGCGAGATGGCTCAGCGGGCAAAGGTGCTTGCTGCCAAGCCTGATGACCCGAGTTCAGTCCCCAGGCCCCACATGGAGGAAAGAGAGAACCAACTCCCCCAACCTGTCCTGTGACCGCCACAGGTGTAGTGTGTGTGCATACACACCCACAATAAATCAGTGTAATTAGGAAAATATTTTGCAGGGTGTAGTAGCACACTGGAGAGGTAGTCATATTGCTGATATGGAAAGAGGACGGGCCGAAACCCAGCAGGCTGGGGGTCTCCAGTGAACAGCAGCACCCAGAAGAAAAGATCAAAGTAGAAATCAACAAAGAAAATGAAGATAAAGGATCACAACCATGAGCTGTTATTTGAAAGGATAAATCTCTATTGAGAGCAATTAGGGGGAAAGGCATAAATAGCAACATTGGGCCTGAAAAAAAGAAACTCGTGTCGCTTGATTTGAGGCTGACAGAGTTGACGTTCAGATGGAATGACTGCAATCCTAGAGCAAAACAGCTGTTTTCTAAAAACCTGTCTAAGGCGTGGGCACTTGAATCTCCTTGGCTCCGTTAACAAATCAACACCTGTGTCAAGTCATTACGGTGATTTAGCAGCAGATCAATCTATGAATGTCATCCTCACACTACATTTAAGGAAAACTTATTTTCTAATGCAGAAAAAAAAATACTGGTAATTTGCTGGGCGTGGTGGCGCACGCCTTTAATCCCAGCACTCGAGAGGCAGAGGCAGGCGGATCTCTGGGAGCTCAAGGCCAGTCTGGTCCCTTAGCGAATCCAGGCCAGCTAGGGGCTACAGGGAGACCCTTTCTCAAAAAGACAAAAAAAAGAAAATAGTGGTAACTTTTATTCCTGTTCATGGTTAGAAAGTGGAAAAAGTAAAAAAAACTTTGAACAAACCAGAATTTGGACCTTGCTCAGGTCCTACCACAGGAGGGCAGTGCCTTGGCCGCATCTCAGGCATATGCTCGCTGCGCCCCAGGTGTGCCATGGGTAAAGCCTCAGCAGGAGGTTGTGAGATGCCCCGCAGGTGTTCTCCGGATCTCTGAGCTCAAGGCCAGTCTGGTCCCTTAGCGAATCCAGGCCAGCTAGGGGCTACAGGGAGACCCTTTCTCAAAAAGACAAAAAAAAGAAAATAGTGGTAACTTTTATTCCTGTTCATGGTTAGAAAGTGGAAAAAGTAAAAAAAACTTTGAACAAACCAGAATTTGGACCTTGCTCAGGTCCTACCACAGGAGGGCAGTGCCTTGGCCGCATCTCAGGCATATGCTCGCTGCGCCCCAGGTGTGCCATGGGTAAAGCCTCAGCAGGAGGTTGTGAGATGCCCCGCAGGTGTTCTCTGAAGAAGGAGAGCGGAGCCTGTGCTGCAGGCGCTCCCTTAAGGGCGTGCGGAATGCTGAGGGCCACCTGCGCCTTGTGACTCAGCGGCTGCTGGACTGAGCCTTCCCGGCACCAGCCAGCGCAGACTAGGCAGGCGCACCCTGCGAGGGTGCACCATCCCTGGCTTTTATGACCTTTCTGCAAACTCATAGTTCTGTCTCTGAGTGAAGTTTTTCACCTCCCAGAAGCGTGACAGGCTGAAATGATTTATTGTGCATTCACGTCTTTGCTCTGTTTGGGGTAAGCGAGGATGTTCCCTACAGAAGTGTACACACACCAGCCCACAGATCCTGGAAGCTGTAACTTTCTAGCCCCTTTTTTATCAAATGGTGGTTTTGAAGGCTTGCTTTTGCATCATTTAAAGCAACAAGCCAGCCAACCTTCCCACCCTCTTCCTCAAACCAAGCCAGCTGCACTTCCCACTCAGGAAACTGGCATGTGGTGTGGGTGGGTCCAGCCCCTGCTCATACCTCGCCTCTGGCTTCCTGATGCCAAAGGGCACATCCCAGACATAGCATCATTGTGTCCCCTTCAGCTTTGGCTCTGGCTTTGCAGTGTGTGGGGCATGTGCTCATGTTCACGTGGGTCCCTCATACTGCCCGGGTGTTAGTTCTGGAGAGCACCTGGCCCAGGGAGGCTGACCTGGCAGCAGGTGGCTCCATCCTGGCACTTTCAGCCTGTGCTCCCGTTGACCTCTCCTTAGAGTACAGTGTGTATTGTACTCTAAGTGGCCACATCTAGCGAAGGGTTGGGTGGTGGCTCTCCTCCTACCTATATGAATGGCTAAATTGTGGGTGTGGTCATAGGTGGGGCTATGGTGAGGATGTGGCCAGAGGTGGGGCTAACTTGTGGCTGTGGCTAGGGTGCAATCAGCGGTAGGTGGGACCAGATTCTTACTGTGTCTTCCCCCAGTGCTCCCATTCCCCAACCTGCCTGGCTCGACTTCCTGGCACCTCTTGGGAAACCTGATGCTTCCTTCCGCTGTGTGTTCAGAAGGCCCACGTGCAGCTGCTCTGGGCTGCATCTGCAGGTCCCATTGTGGGAACTCCATTTATGCTAATGGTCCCTTCTCCCTCGCAGTCTTCCTCCTAGTGCTTTCCCTGCCTCCTGTGTCCCTGCAGGCAGGGCTGGTTCACCCAGCTGCCTCAGTGCTCCAAGAGGGGAGGCATGCTGTCCTTTAGCCACTCTGTGTTAATTTTTCTCTTCATAGCACTTGGCTTTTGGCCAGACAGAACACCTGTCCAGGTGAGGGCGGACAGGTGGAACAGTCTGCATGCTCTCTGTTCTTAGAGTAGCAGAAAAAACAAAGACCTATTCCTATTGGACAGTGGGGCCTCTGGAGAAGCCCCTCCCCCTCAGGCTATGGAAACCCCTGTGGCATCAGTCCTGAGGGCTAGCCTGGGAGCTTTCAGCCTGAGCAGATGGAACACCAGAGTGTTTTTGTAAAGCTCAAATTGAATGCCAATGTTTTAAAATTTGGGACCAGTCCCCCAAAATACATATTTCCTGCATCTCTAAAAGACCAGGTGCTCTGTCCACACCTTGAGCTACACCCAATCATAGCAGTGACCCCAGGTTGAGGAAGGGGCTTTGGGCAGAGCCCCAGGTGCCTTCATGTACCATCAGGAGCCAAGATGCAGTGGCCATCCCTGCTCAGCCATTCCTGCTGCATCACGCAGGAGGAACAAGGAACTTCACTGCCCTTTGGAGACATGAGAGACCCACCCATTGCAGAGTGGCCCGATTTAGTCACTCCCCTCCCCAATTTGGTTTCTGCCTTAGGAGGGGCTCCAAGCTTGCTACCCCTCTGCAGTCCCAGAGCTGTGGGGTGCCGTCGAGCCTGCCCCCTCCGCAGTCCCAGGGCCCCGTCGAGCCTGCCCCCTCTCCACCAGTTTCTCTGCACAGTGGTTGCCATCCTTCTGCACTATGTCTCCATGAGCACCTTTGCCTGGACCCTGGTGGAGAACCTGCACGTCTATCGCATGCTGACCGAAGTGCGCAACATCGACTCGGGGCCCATGAGGTTCTACCATGTGGTGGGCTGGGGTATCCCTGCGGTTGTCACAGGTGAGGACACACAGGGCAGCTCTGCCGGGTAACATTTCCTTTAGCCGCCTGCCTCCTCTTCTCCTGGCCTTTTCTCTCAGCTTACCTGTGTGCAGAGTAGCCTTTCCAGCCCACCCGGGAGAGAGATCCCTGCTCAGGGGTGAGCTGCTCGGCCAGGGTGCTCAGGGTTCTTTGTGCAGTACCCAACTAGGAAAAGATCTGTGTCTATCATTGGATGTGTGGGAGTGTAAGTGAAGAGGTGGGGGTGGGTGGCTCGGTGGTGAGCAGCTGCACGGATGTGGATGGGTGCATGACTAAATCATTCTAACGACTGGGTGGCAGTTGGGTGAGGACTGCCTTCCGCACACACTTCCTCAGCAGGCATTTCATTAAATAGCAGAAAGCCAGTGCTTCCTGTTGAGAACAGAAGCATGGATCTTCCTAAACCTCCTTCCCAGCGGCCGAGGTGGAAGCCCAGCACGTCTATTTGGACACAGCCAGAGGGCAGAAGCACTGAGAAAGGGGGCTGCTAGGACCGTCTCAGTGGCCAGGGTGACAGGTCTCCTAGACTCTACACTCCTACCCAGGGTCCCTGGGCTTCAGACATGACTATGGCTCACGCCTCTGCTCTGAGGGACCCAGAGGGATGACTACACTTCCATTCAGACCACACAGGCTGGGTGGCAGAGGGCGGTGGCAGGAGGCATGACCCTTTGGTGCCGCCACATCCCGTTGCTTTGCTTGATAGAGGTGATGTCTTCACCCAGGTCAGCTGTCAGCATGAGCAGCACCGTCTAGAAAATGAAGTGAGCGTCTTAGTGTAGAAGCAACCTTGAGGCCTCGGTGAGAGACCTTCCCCACAGCCTGTACTAAGTCTGAGTGGGAAATGTTGCCTTCTGAGGGCTTTGCAGTCTCAGTCCAGTTCACAGTTCTAACTTGCTTTAAACATGTCTCTTGAGAAAGTCTTAAGATTGTGCCTGAGGACCCTCAAGGATGAGGTTCTGAGCATCCAGGTCTGCTTGAAACAAGGCCAGTGTTGAAGACGGTCCCTGAAACTTTCTGGAGGGTGCTCCATAGACAGGTGGTTCTCACCCATCTTGTCACTGAGTTGTGGTTGTGTTTAGGTGATACAAGAATGTGAGACACTGGGGGCTCGTGTGGTATGTGGTGAGTGTGTGTGTGTGGATATAGATATATATTATCTCCACCCACACACCCACAGCTCCCTGGTGAGCTACCCTCCCCTATACCTTGGGCTGGTTATGGCCTCTTACCCCTGTGTGCTGGCCGTCGGGCCCTCTTGAGCAAGCACTGTCTTGCTGTTTTTCCAGCCCAGCTGGCCCTCCTCAGCAGCCCTCTTCAGGGCTCCCCACCTTGATGGGGCCAGGCTGTGCCAGCTGCCGCCCCCTGGATCACAGGAGTGCTGAGCCTGACTTAGTTTGAGGTGCTTACAGACATTTCTCTCTGACTCCTTGATCTCTGAAGATGGTGGTTCTGGGTCCCTGGTGGCCCTGCCCCAGCTTGTCTTCAGCTGCCCTCCTGGGCTGGTGGTGGCCGTCTGGGTCTGGGGCTCACCCTCTTCTCTGCCTCTTCAATGTGTGCAGGACTGGCAGTTGGCCTAGACCCTCAGGGCTATGGAAACCCTGACTTCTGCTGGCTGTCCCTTCAGGACACACTGATCTGGAGCTTTGCAGGGCCTGTCGGAATGGTGATAATTGTGAGTGTTAGAGTCTCCCTAGACCCGCCACTCAGGACACAGAGGCCCAGGTGCCCCAGGGTGGGTGGCTGGGGTCAGCAATTCCTCTGGGTGACCAGGGTTGGCAGGAAGGGCTCACCTCACAGTAATAATGATCACCAGACTGTCCAGGCTGCTCTGGGGCCCTATCCTCAGATCCCCAGGTCCCAAGGAGACCTTCGTGCACAGGCAGCCTGGAGTGGCGCAGCAGCCCTGGGGGCAAGGCCTCTGGTCCACACACCTCCAGGTGCAGGTGAAGACCTGCAGGAGCATTGGGTTCATGAAGATCAGATGGATACAGCAGGGGAGTTGATACCTGAAGCTTCTGTCATTGTTTTGCAGATCGACACGGTCATTTCTGTCCTGTCTGCAAAGGTTTCCTGCCAGCGAAAGCACCATTATTATGAGAGGAAAGGGGTTGTGTAAGTCGGGCCTGAACCTGGCTGGGTGGGACTTAATGCCAAGCCAACCCACCAAGCCTCTCAACTTGGCCCTGAGACACCCCCCCCCCCGCCACGCAAGTGCACAGACTACATGGTGGGCAGAGCTCTGTGAAAGTGCCCATTAGCCACTCACCTACAAGGGAGCTGGCCTGACTGGTGGGAGGCAACAGGCACTGGGGCTCCAGGGATGGAGCTGGCACGGATGTGCGTGACACCATGGTGATCAGCCAAGCAAGGAGGCGATGAGGCCCGAGACAGGCTAAGCTGTAGGAACTGGGGGAAAGGGATGGGGTAGGAGAGGTCCCAAGTTGAGAGTCAGACATGTGGTCAGTGTTGGGTGGAATCAAGTGAGTGGGCTGGAGATGGAGCTTTTTTGTTTGGTGGCGTTGATGCCACCAAAGTGGCACCAAAGTGGAGTAAGCCCCTTGATGCAGCCTCAGAGGCTGCAGGATTTTAGGAATAGACAGGAAGGATCTCCATTCCTCATAAAATTAGTGTGAGCCCCAAGAGGAAGGGTCAGGAGAGAGGGACAGAGGGTGTCTTTTGGGTGTCCCGGCCCTGTGGCCTGTTTCAGCACCCATGAGGCCAAGCCAGCGGGCAGGCTGAAGGGATGGTGCAAGGAGGAGCCTCACGGTAACAGGAGGGCGCTGTGCTGGCCGCCCAGCCTGGAGTTGGGAACTGAGTCCAAAGTGAAGTCGGAGAGGGGGAGCGTGGCTGTGGCTGCCTGCCTGAGCCCGCCTGTCCCCAGCTCCTTCAGTCACATGGCTACAAAGCCCTTCCACAGCCTGTGAAGGGGATGGGTAGTTGCTAATGGTGCAAGGAGGAGCCTCACGGTAACAGGAGGGCGCTGCGCTGGCCACCCAGCCTGGAGTTGGGAACTGAGTCCAAAGTGAAGTCGGAGAGGGGGAGCGTGGCTGTGGCTGCCTGCCTGAGCCCGCCTGTCCCCAGCTCCTTCAGTCACATGGCTACAAAGCCCTTCCACAGCCTGTGAAGGGGATGGGTAGTTGCTGTCCATTTTACCAGTGGGGAGACCGAGCCAGAGAGTAGGGAACTTTCTTGCCTGAGTCACATGGTAGTGAAAGCATAGGAATTCTGCCTTTCTTTGTCTCATACACACCCCCACACACCCCCCACACACCCCCAACACACACCCCCCACACCCCACACACACACCACACACACACACACACACACACACACACACCCCACACACACACCCCAGATGAATGTTTAGGGTCCGAAAGTTGTCTTCTGACCTCTACATACTTGCCAACACACCCCAACCCCCACACACACCCCTCACACACAGCCCCCCCCCCAGGCCTTGACCTCTCCCCTCTGCACCTTCTCGTGTGTGGCCTCACATAGCAGGTCTGGGACCTGGGTCTCGTTAGGGAACACTGCCGTCAGTGTTGTTTCAGTGGTTGTGGCTCATGCTTCATTAGTTTGTTTTAACTGTCCTCATCTGCCACTGTCCCCACCAGCCCAACCTCCGTCTCCTTGTCACTGATAGAATCCAGGGATGGGGCAGATAGAGGGTGGATGGGTTCAGTGGGTGGGTGGGTGGTTCGACCGGTAGAGCAGATGGGTGGATGGATAGGCGTACAAGGCTGGTCTGGACAAGCAGGTGGAGGAGAGGACGTCCTGTACTCCACCCCCCCACAGCTCCCTGCTGAGGACCGCCTTCCTCCTGCTGCTGCTTGTCAGTGCCACCTGGCTGCTGGGGCTGCTGGCTGTGAACAGCGATGCCCTGAGCTTCCACTACCTCTTTGCTGCCTTCAGCTGTTTGCAGGTAGATGTCGCAGAGTCACGTGGTAGTCCACTTCTGTGTGTGTGTGTAGGTGGTCCCCTTCTGTGGGGGTGGTCCCCTTCTGTGGGGGGTGGTCCTCTTCTGTGTGTGTGTGTAGGTGGTCCCCTTCTGTGGGGGGTGGTCCCCTTCTGTGGGGGGTGGTCCCCTTCTGTGGGGGGTGGTTCCCTTCTGTGTGTGTTGGGTAGTCCCCTTCTGTGTGTGTTTGGGGGGGCAGTGTGGTCCCCTTCTGTGTGTGTTGGGTAGTCCCCTTCTGTGTGTGTTGGGTAGTCCCCTTCTGTGTGTGTTTGGGGGGGCAGTAGTCTCAGTATTCAACTGCACCTGCTGAGAAGGAAGCCCGTGGTCTCCACCTGTCCCAACCTTTCCCCAGACCTGCCTCTCGGGGCTGTGCCTATCAGGACACTGCCATGGCTTGGGCAGGACAAAGCTGGGACCCCCCCCCCCACTGCAGGCTGGTACAAAGCCCACTGGTCACTGGTGTTCCCAGGGAGCAAGAGTGAGCGGCCCTTTGTAGTTCACACCGAGGGTTCCCTAGTAAGTTTATGGCATAAAGGTAGCCCCGCCTTCCCAATGGCCCAGAAGGCTGTGGCCTGAGGTAGCTGCCCTGCCCAGGCACCTCAATTTCTAAGGCCCCCTGCCAAGAAAGGAGCACCCCCCTCCCCCAGGAGAGGAGGCATGGTAGGCCTTGGGGCACCACTTGTACTGGTTGGGCTGCTCTGCACCAGGCTTTCCTGGGGGAACAGCCAGGTTCTGGTGTGGCAGCATGAGAAACCCCAAGAGTCAGTGACCTGATGCCCATCTCTCTCCAGGGCATCTTTGTCCTCCTGTTCCACTGCGTGTTCCACAGGGAGGTGAGGAAGCACCTGAGGGCGGTGCTGGCCGGGAAGAAGCTGCACCTGGATGACTCTGCTACCACGAGGGCCACCCTGCTAACGGTGGGAGGTGCTAGGGATCCCCCACGCCAGGCCTGGGAATGGGTGGCACTGCATTGAGGGCAGTGAGGACCAAACAGACTGGCCCTGTGGTCCTCATGGCTTGGTGCTCACAGCACCGAGGGCTCTGCATGTCTCCAGACAGACAGGGTCTCTGTCCAACTGTATCCCCCCACCCCCCGGCAAGATCTTGGGAAGATGAGCCAGGGCAGGTATCCATAGGACAACCAGAAGCAGTGTTCATAGGAAGCAGGTGTTCCCACTCCAGTGTGGGCCAGCCGATGTTCTCCCCTGTCCACTACAAGCCTCCTGTTTGCAGTACGGTTCTGTATACCCACCCCAGGTGTCGGCAGGGACAGACTGAGTGCCTGCATGGGGCTGCTGGGTTATAGAGCCAAACTCTGTCACCTCTTCCCATAATATCTCATCCTATCCCCAGCGCTCCCTCAACTGCAACAACACATACGGCGAAGGTCCAGATATGCTCCGCACAGCCCTGGGCGAGTCGACGGCCTCGCTGGACAGCACCACCAGGTCGGGCTGCCTTACTCACTGTTTCTCTTGGGGTGGGCAGCACCCCAGCTGTGAGTCTTGCTGTTCCAGTTGCCTAATCTGCCCCCCTATTCTGGGGAGACTTTTACTTCTGTTGATCAGAGCACAGGTGGGGTGGGTTTAGGGAATCTTCCAGAGCCTCATGAGGCCTTTATAGCAGGTGCTGTGTGACATGGGTGGCCCATAACTGTCACTCAAGGACAGAGCTGAGCCCACCCCCCACCTCCACCTCATCTAGGGATGGAGGAGTCCAGAAGCTGAGTGTGTCCTCTGGACCTGCACGTGCTGGCCATGGGGAACCAGATTCATCCTTCCTTCCCAGGAGCTCCAAGAAACCCCATGGTATGGTTTCCCTTGCAGGCAGAAGTCCATAGCCTGTTCTTGCCTCCACCACCCTTGCCCCTCAGTCCCCTTAGGTGTTAGACTCCACACACCCTTGTTAGAAGCATTGGTGACCTTGTCCAGCTCAGAGGACCAGTGACTCTGGGCCTGAGCTCCCTGCCCTGCCCTGCCCTGTCTGCAGGCCCTGACTCTGACTCTGACAGTGAGCTGTCCTTGGATGAGCAGAGCAGTTCCTATGCCTCCTCACATTCATCAGACAGTGAGGACGATGGTGAGGAGGCTGAGGACAAATGGGATCCCTCTGGAGGCCCCGTCCACAGCACCCCCAAAGGTAAGCAATGTGGGCACAGGCCAGGGTAGACAGTGAACCACAGGCCGTGAGCATGCCTTGACCACAGTTGACGTCCTCTGCCTCCAGTTCCTGCCCAGCAGAGGGATAGACACACAGGACAGCTCAGATGGGAATGCAAGCCCCAGGAAGTCCCCCATGCCATCTTGAGCAGAGGCAGGAATTCAGAGGTCTCTGTAGAGGTCTCTGTTAATGGGGGGCTGGGCGAGGCTGGCTGAGGACAGCCAGTATGTGGCTCCCAGAGTTGGGTGCAGTGGTAGGGACCACAGCCTAGGTCCTCCAACATCAAGACATCCTCTCAAGGGGCCTCAGTTTCTCCATTTTATGGTATAGCCCACCAGTCCTGCAAGTAGAGAGTGGGGGATGAAGGCCACTCTCCTGTCCACCAAACCTGGGGAGTTACAGGGCGTGGCTCTAAGTTGGTCCGGTTGAGTGTCGTTCTTACCTCAGCAGATGTTCTAGCCAACCATGTCCCAGCTGGCTGGCCTGATGAGAGCCTGGCTGGGAGTGACGGTGAAGAGCTGGACCCTGAGCCCCACCTGAAGGTGGAGACCAAGGTCAGCGTGGAACTGCATCGACAGGAGCAGGGCAGTCACTGTGGTGACCGACCCCCTGACTCAGAAAGTGGGGTCCTGGCAAAGCCTCTGGCCGTGCTCAGCAGCCAGCCCTCGGAGCAGAGGAAAGGTACCTTGGGAGGGCCCTGCTGTCCCTAGAGAAAACCCTCACCAGCAGGAGGGGACAGAGACAAAGTCCTTGTGCAGCGGGTGGGTAGAGGTCTGTGGAGGGCATAGGTGGAGCCTGGGCAGGTCACAGGTGAGGACCAGGAAGAACACCTGCTCACGACCATCCATCACTCCCTGAGCCACAGCACGGATGTCTGCCTGAATTGACTTGGGTGGCTGCATCTCTCTCCTCCCAGGCATCTTGAAAAACAAAGTCAGCTACCCGCCACCGCTGCCCGAGCAGCCGCTGAAGTGCCGGCTTCGAGAGAGGCTGGCCGACTGTGAGCAGAGCCCCTCGTCTTCTCGAACATCCTCCCTGGGCTCTGGTGATGGGGTCCGAGCCACCGACTGTGTCATTACCATCAAGACCCCCAGGAGAGAGCCAGGTCGCGAGCATCTCAATGGCATGGCCATGAACGTGCGTACAGGGAGCGCCCAGGCCAATGGCTCTGACTCAGAGTAAGTAGCATTGGTCTCCAGGTCCTCGGGAGGGTAGGGACCACCAGCTTTCCCCATTTAGGAATCCTAGAACCCCCAGGCATCCCCTCTCACCTGACTGGGGGTGTCTGTCCCTGACTGAGTCTGGACCCCACCCAACTGTCCCCCTCACTGACCCTCCACACACCTGGCAATTCTTCCCACACACAGAGGCAGTAACGAAACTTCAATTTGAACCATCAGGAAACCGTGAAGCACAATCGACCCTAAAGACGGCCAGTCGTCAGGCCCTTGGACCTCGGAACCTCAGGCTGCCACCTGAGGGGCTAAGCAGACCCTGGGTGTGAGGGTCCCTGCATGTGAGGGTCCTTGCAGTGGCAGCTCCACACAGAAGGTCAAACATGAAAGTCTTGGCCTCGCTGGGGCTTAGGACCCACCAGATCCTGTGACAAGTGCCAAAGCCACAGGCATGTCTTGAGGGAGACATGGACTTCAGGCCGGCACAGCTTGGTCCTCAGACTGCAGATAGAGCCCAATCCATGCTGCCAACCTGGCCACCAGAGGGACAGCCACAGAGCCCGAGTTGGACTTGGTGAGACAGCCACCATGCCAGGCCCTCTGGCTCACCAGGGTTCAGAGATGCTGGACACAGGCCAAGGCCTAGCTACTCCTGTGAGCACCTCCCCACAGTACAGGCCCATGGTCACCTGTCTCAATGAGCCTCTACAAAAGCACCCCGTGTCTTAAAGCAAATCGCTCTGCTACGTTGAAAAGTGTAAATACTTGAGACGATGAAAATCTGTTTATTTTACGTTGTACTGACTGTTGACACTGGAGATCCACGGAATTGTGCGTCTCGCTCTTTTGCCTAAGGAAACTTGCACAGTTGTACTTGAATCTGGAATGAATCAACACAGCTGGTTCCACAGAGTCCAGGTGGCTAGGACATGGGCTGTGAGGTTGATAGTTGTCAGACACTCCCACAGCTGCTTCTGGCCAGCAAGCCACGGAGTGTGGGTATCCCGCCGGCCTCCTGAGCACTGTGCCCTCAGCTCCCATCCTCCAGGGTGTGGATACAGGATGTGGCCTGCCTGTTTTCAGTGGTGGTTGCACATACCCACCGGTCCCCAGCCACTCTGTTACCCCCACCTGCACTTGTGCCAGGTCTGCTCAGGTCCAGGGGGCCTCTCTGGAGCCCTTCCCAGTCTGCCTAGTGTGGCGGGAGATTCCTTTGTCCCCTACTTCTGCTCCCCATAGGATCTTGGAGCATTCACGTCCCAATTCAGATGGCGCCATGAGGTCTTCCAGCATGTCACATTCCTTCCTGCCTATTTTCTAGCCCTTTTAGACTCCCCGGCTCTCTGGGCAGACTGGGATCCCACCCCCAACATCCAACCAATTACATCACTTTGCTTCAAATGGCCAATTGTGTAAAGAAACAAAGCCACAGCCCCACTTTTCAATGGTTACCAAACCTTTTTTGGAAACTCACACCAAGGACTGTTGTGATCAGCCCACCCTGGGCCACTGAAAGCCCCCGAGGTTTGTGGAACAGGGCCTAGGGGCCTGGAGCTACTCAGACACATTGCACTGTTTAAATCAGCTGCCCAAATGCAAGGCTGGCATGGCTGTTATCAACTGTGGGAAGCCATCAAATATGGGAATCCAGTGAAAGGCTGGGTTTTTATACTACTCTAGGGTTGTGCTGACGAGAATTCACGCACTGTTAATGAGCAACTTCACGACATGGGCTGAGGTCCCTGGCTGCCACGAGGCGAAGTGAGGCCCGAGTGACTATCAGCCACTGTAACGGGTGGCTTCTGAGGACAGCAAGGCCACAGGAGGATGACCCGGGTGCAGAGGGGCTTGACCTCTCAGGATTGGAGTGTTCCGCTCTCCTGTGAACCCTTACAGTCCCACAGCCTGGGGTTGACCCGAAGGCGAAGTTTATTTGATCTGAATTGTTACCAAAAAACTGTCGTTTTATTAAGACAGGAAAGATTTAAGGCTATTTTTATGACTTAAGACTTTATAGACATCAGACACTGGAGGTTTTAACAGATGTGTATTTATTAATGTTCAGCACTGGAATGACAACACAGATAAGAGTCTACAATAAATTAAGATTCTGGATTTGTACCTGCGCTACGCTGGCCATTCTCCCTGTCTGGCTGTCCCTGTTCCAGCTCTCTAAGGTGGCATGGGAGGGACTGTTGAGGGGAGCTCAGGCCCCTTTATGTGATGACAGGCCCATGGAGTATCAAAACTTTATTCATGTGCAGACTGCTACAGCGTGGCGATTTCCCAATTGTAACTTTTGGAAAGTAACTTTCAGTTTTACAGCCTGGTTCCTCCTCATGCTGTGCATTTATCTGTACCCTCCTTCCTCTGGGCCTGGTAGGATGGTGTTCTCCCCTCTGGTAATGTGAACATCTGGGTCATCTTGGGGCTCAAATCCATCACCTTCTCTTGGGAGCCTGGCGCTGGGTTCCAAGGCCAAGTCCACTGTCAAGGGGTGGCAGTGCTCTATCCAGCCATCTCCTCCTAGGGCCCTCAGTTCCTGTCCAGAAAGATGGGTTTCCCCCAGAGCCGCAGGAACCTATACTGTCTGCCAGCGGGCACCACCCCTGGGGAAAACTGGGTACAGAAAGCAGTGGGCACCCCCTTCCTTTGACTCACAGGTCTCCTTCTTAGGCCCCTCCCAGGGTCTTCACCTGGTGCTGATGCACACAGGACTACCCTCAGCCCAGAGAAATAACCCATGAAGACTCCCGCTAAACGTCCTTTTCCAGTGGGTCTTCCTCACACCTGCTTGTCCACCTCTCAGAGCTCAGCAGTGGATTGACACGTCCACTTCAACCCAGAGCCAAGCTGACAGGAAAATGCTGGGTTCCACCTGGTGTGGGCACTGTCGGGGAAAGGGATACCTTATGCTCACTTCGAACAGAGAGCAGTCTGAGGACTCAGCCTTCCCCTTGGAGCACTCAGGCCCCAGGGAGGAGCGGCAGGAGTACAGCTCTTCCCTTGTACAACACCTACCCTGCCACACGGCTTGAGGGTCAGTGGTGCAGTGCCTTGAAACCTACCCTGCCACACGGCTTGAGGGTCAGTGTTGCAGTGCCTTGAAACAGCCCACCCAGGCTTCCTGTGTCCTTGGAAACAGTGGCCAGACTCTTTATTCCAGACAGAGCTTTTATTGATGCTGTTCCTGCAGCCTGTGAGCCTCCACACGTCCTCTGGATGCATGTGGCGGGGGATTCCTTTGTCCCCCGCTCCTGCTCCTCCGTAGGATCTCGGAGCATTCACGTCCCAATCCCAGAGTGCTGTGAAAGCTCTCCACACACTCTCAAGGAAGACCCACCAGCCAGCATATGCTTCTGGGCTGCCAGAGGTTCGATGCAGGGACAGTCCTTCCTTAGGTTGCCCTGGCTCTACATGCCCCTGGTTCTGACATCACCAAGCCCATCACTGACCAACCTACCCCAGGCTCTGGTCTAATATCTCTTCCCAGAAGCTCAGCCTTCGTCAGGATGTGGACTGTCACCAGAGCCCTCGGGAGCCGCTCTGGTTCTGCCCTTGCCCTTCTGGAGTGTGTAGGCAGATGGCCCCAATCGCAAGATCTTCCCGCTGCCCAGACATTCGTCACCCTTGTAGAACACGGCAAACTGGGAAGAAGAAGACCACACTATGTTGTGGGTGGGGAGCACAATGTAAACTCTAGAGCAGAGCTGACCAGGCACCTGGCCAGTGACAGCAACAAGGAGACCCCACACTTGCTACCAGGCATGTTCTCACTGCCCCACTCACCTGTCCCAGGGCAAGGCCCCGCACAGCCCTCACAGCTGTTACCCACACAGTGCCATCCTGATTGAGAGTCAGCACACAGGGCACTGTGGGAGAGGAGAGAAGAGACTGGTATGGGCCTGGTTTCACTGCCAACCTCAGCCCCAGGGAGGAATAGCAGCAGCCTGTGGTATGAAGACCCCATATCCCTCCTGCTGGCGAAGGGACAGGACAGGCCCACCAGGGCTCAGCTTCCCTGGCTGCAGACTGACAGGACACCCCAGGGTAGTCACCTGGCCCCATACTGAGACCCTCATCCCAGAGCTGACTTCAGAGCATCTGGCTAAGAGGCACGCCTGCACCCTAGTCCCTTTCTGTGGCAAGCAAAAGACAAGTTTTGAAAAGTCAATTTCAGCACAGGGGGACTTCTTGGGGTGTGTGTGCTTGCATGCATGTGTGCTTGTGTGCACACTGGCTTAGCTTAAATCTGGCCCCAAGGAGCTCAGCAACAAGAGCCCCTCTGCCCAGTCACCTAGCGCCATCTGGTGGCGGAATCGGAAATGGCATTCCATCATCTTGTCTCGGATCAGGACTGCAGGTGGTTCCTCAGCAATCCAATGTACACGGTTGGTCCTGAGCAGGTCCCTGTACAGGGCTGGGTGGTCTGTCCGGGGGGCCTGCAGAAGAGAATGCGGTGTTGTGACGCCTTGGAGGAGAGCGGCCCTCACCCCAAAGCCCTCGGCAGGTAAGAACAATCCCCATTCAGAGCTGTGATCAGAGCTGCACGTGGAGATCCATTTCATGAGCTCAGGGCTTTGGGATGAGGAACCTGAGGCACAAGAGGGAAGGAAAGGTCACAGAACAGCAGCAGGAGGCAGAGAGACTGGTTCAGGTCTCTCTCTGCCCACTACCTGTTTTGAAGACTATTTTCTGTTCCCAGGGACAAATGGCCTCTTGGGAGAGCCAGGAATCTACCAATGACACACTGCTAAGGAAAGCAGGGTCTGGTGGGCTAATTCCCAGCCCTGGGCTGTGTCAGCACCATGGAGTGGCCCTGGCCAGGCTAGGTCTTCACAGAGGACTGGTTCTGAGGCCCATTCCCATTCCACTCTGGTCTCTGGCACCACCACAGAACCGTGCTACCTTGTAGGGTGGGCCAAGTCTCCCCTGAGGCAGAGCCAGGAAGACCATGTCCTGTGACTTGAGTTCTAAGCAGACACTGAGACAGTCTAGGTCAATGAACCAGTGATGCTTGCTTTTCACACCAGGCACAGTGTTGGGAGCGCCTGCTGAAGGACCCTTACTTCAGGCCTGAGTAGCTTTTCACACACTGCTCTGAGTAGAGACATTTCAGTCTGTGGGGAGGGCTCTGGCCTTTTGGCCTGTCTAGAAGGTGCAGGACCTGTGGTGACGGCAGCTGGCAGCCTAGCCCATGCAGAGCAGCATCTTACCCTTGTACTCCTGAGAGCTGTCAGGGTTGAGGGTTTCCAGAATGCACGGCTGGGCTACTAGCAGCACCTCCATCCCCACCCGTGTCACCATGACCAAAACATCTCTAGAAACTGCATCTCCCCAAAAGGCAGCGGACTACTCCTCTCCACTGGACTTCCGGGCCCTTGCGAGTCACCTAATCTACGTCTTGTTCTTTGCAAATCAGCACAGGCAGCCAACATACTATAGTGCCTAGTCAGCACTTTCCATGAAGACCTGTCACCTTAGCCCAGTCCAGGAGGCTGTGCCTGCTGCTCCAGGCCATCAGGAGCCCCAGCACCACCCACCCTGTTGGCACAGCAGACAGTGCAGGCCAATCCCACTCACCACAAGCACGTCGCCCTTGCTGCCATCCTTTTCCACCACGTACCAGGGCTCTTTCAAGCCGCTGATCTTAGCTCTCTGGCCCAAAGTATACAGGAACCATCCTGTGAAAGTGCACCCTGAGGCTTAGGGGCAAGTTCCAGGAGGCATCTCGTAACAGGGATGTTGGGAACACAAGTGGCCCCAGCAGACTGCTATGGGCACACTCGCACCACCCTGTCCCTTAGGTTGAACTTAGGGACAAGACAGTGATTGGGATGGTCTGAACCTGGCACAAGGGCCAGCTCCGGCTATGGTGGCTAAGACGGTAAGTTACCTGGGCTACCTGAGCCGCTTCTGCTCTCAAAACAGGTTGGACACGTGCTGAGCACACGCCTTTTATCTGCACTCAGTTCTGCCTGTATTCTACACACTACCCCACACATGGGGTAGAACCACCAGCTCACCAGCCCCACCCCCTCAGCAATGCATGTGCCATACATAGTAGAGGCAATCTCCCAGGATTCAACTGTTCTCTGGATATAAGCCAAAGCCACGAGCAGCCCAAGTGCCGGCTTCTGGGATGGCAGCTCTGTCTCCCCGTGCTTCCACTGGCCTCAGGACACCCGGCTCTACTGGCCCCTCCAGCCCTCTGGCAGTCCTGCTCCCTCCACGGTGGTGGCACTATCTAGAGTGCATCCTGTCTTTCCAGCCAGGCTTGGGAGGCACGTCCCCTCCAGCCTATACAGCCTGACCTCATATCCAACACAGTGCAGGACCTAGTGGCCCTGCCCCTATGTCTGTCAAAGTGTGAGCAGCACCCACATGGCCCTCAGACATCCAGCTGTCTGCCGTGCCAGCTACAGCCCAGTGAAGTTTTCTGCAGCTTCACCCCATTCTCCTCCAGTGTTAAAACACCTTCTTTTTGGGAACTGTGCGCACGCACACAGTTCAGCCCTGAATCTTGGGGTATTATTCCAGGGCTTGGAGGACACGGCATCAGGACACAAAGCCCCTGTCAGTGATTCTCATGCCACAAGTACCCACCCCAGCCTGCCCTTCAGGTCTTCCATGACTAGCACCTGGTCTTTGGCTCCCAAAGCTGACAGGACTTACCTTTATGTGTTCCTAGAACTGTATTGTCCTCGACAGAAATAAACCTCCCAGGCCGAGGCTGCAAATACTGGAAGACAAGTTTCATGACTGAGGGGTCCAGGCCCAGAGCAGATACAGCTATTGCTCGTCAGATGACACTCACCTGAAGAATGAAATGCTCAAAGTTTCTTTTACCAATGAAGCAGATGCCCATGCTCTGAAATGAGAGGAAGGCCAACGTGAGCAGTCAGCCGGACACAGAGCCAGGCTGAGCGAGGAGGGCCAGGCAGAGAGCAGGCTGTAGAAGGACCATGAGCACCTCAGCCTCACCACCCTCCAGGCCCAGAGCTCAGACCCCTGCAACACCAGGTATAGACACAAACAGAGCCCCAGTGCCCAAGCAATGTTGCCATTTTCTTTCTCTGAGTTTTGGCCCTCCAAAGAGGACGCTGCCATGTCAGCTCAATGCCTCGTCTGCAGGCCTAGGAGGGCCTGATCACTAGATTTATTGCAGAACCCCATGAGAGCAACCCAGGAGAGCAAACTGCTCAGTGTTGGGCAAGTCAGAGACCAGGGCACGAGCAGGAAGCAGAGCCAGGCCCAGACTCGGCAGCAGGAACCAGGGGAGATTTATTCACGCTGGCTGGTCCCCGCACAGGAGACTGGACAGGAAGCGGATCTCCCCACTGCATTTGGCAGCAGCTCTGCCATGTACCCCTTAGCGTACCTCCCTTTAGAGATGGGCCACGGGGGGCAGGGGCCTGCCCCATTTATCTCGGCGATGCCTTCAGTTCCTCCCATAGGGCAATGCTGGACACCACAGGGATGGTGGGTGAACAGGTAGGGGACATTCTTTTGGGGACAAGGACTTCCTGATCAAAGGCTGATCAAAGGCCTGTTCCCAGAAGACTGGCGTAAGTAAGTGGTTACAGTTGACGCTACATCAACTGCTAATCTAACTGGGCCCACTGGGGCTTCCCTCCCAGGAGCCCAGCTCTCCCTCCACATGTGTTTGCTGGCTTTCCAAGGACATGTCTCTCTCTAGAGGGGAAGCTCTCTGAAGGCTCAGGACGAGCACTTTGCTGGTCTCCTCAGGATCCGCAGCACTGGAGGATGCAATGACACTCAGTGGAGGGCAGCATGATGTGCAGTTGGCTGCAGACCTGCCACACAGAATGGACCCAGGTGGCTGTTCATTGTCCACTCACCTGGCTGGCTAAGCCAGTGACCAAGGCCACTGAGAAAATGGCCTGCCTGCCATGGAGGGTACGAGAGGGAGGAGGAGGAGGTCAGCCTCAGCTGCTCCAACAGTGCCAAGCCTTCTACCTCACCTGCAGCTGTTTGACTAGGCTGATGGCGGTTCTGGGATCACATGGGCCCCGCCTTGCCCTGTACCACAGTCATGTGACGCAACAGGCACTGCCAAAGGCAAGCTGCTTGCTCCTACCTCTTTCTTCTGAAGCACATGATGGAGCCTATTCTCTGCAGCTATTTTCTTTACAAAATCTTTTGTTAACTCCCCCAGAGGGAAGATGGTTCTTCTCAGGGCATCCTGGGGAACCTGGCTGAGAAAGAAGGTCTGGTCTTTAAAGCTGTCAGCTGCTTGAAGAAGTTTTACGGCTGCCAAAAGTAAAGAACAAAAGGTGTTGCAGGAATAGACAGTGACGAGTGGCTTTTAATGCCATCCTGTTTTTGCAGCTACCCCAACTCTGCTGGAACCAAAACCCACATCAATAGACCACTGCAAAGATCCTGGTAGGGCTAATGTCCAGGACACTCTGGCCCCTAATTTATCTACCAGAAAAAAATACCAACAAAGTATTTAACATAAAGAAATTTATTTCAGTTCATAATTTAGATAAAACTTTCAAAGATGAAACATTCCATGAAAAATGGGAGGTGATAAAGACAAAAGGCCTAAAATGAATTCAGCCTCAGCAGGGAAATCGGACAAGAGAGCAGGTCCAGACAGTTCTGTCAAACTATTATGGATTGTGCATTTTCCTAAATGCAGGTGTGCATTTTGCAAAGTGTGCAAAGCAACACAGGGGCTCTGGTCCCTTGCCTGGCACAGAGTGGAGAACAGCTCTGTGGCTCTCTCCTTGACCTGGCACCTTTCCTTCTTGGTGTGAAGAGCCTTGTCTAGAGTTCAAGCTGACACCCGTCAGCAGCCCCACTGTGGTTTCTCTTATATGACTATAAAGAATGCTTACTGTATGCATACAGGTGTGAAGGATGCTGATTCCAGTGACTTTGGTTCTAAGAAGACCAAGAGGACTCGGGGCCAGAGCAACCCTGTGTTCTCTGTGCTACAGAACTTCCGATGGAACTGGTGGAACTGACTGGCAGATCTGCTGTGTCCACCCTTTCTCCTATTTAGTGCAAGGAGACACCTTACCAGTTACACGAGGAGCATTCTACACACAACAGCTAAATTTTATTTTGTGTGTGTGTGCGTGCACATGCGCACACGCATCTGGGTACATGCTTGTGGATATACATGTGTACAAAGCGTGTGAAGGTCAGATGACAACCTAGATGGTGGTTCCTCAGGCATCATCCACTTTTCTTTTTTTGAGATGATTTTTCACTAGCCCGGAGCTCACAAAGCTAGGCTCTCCAGCCAGTGAGCCCCCAGGATCCACCTGTCTGTCTCCCCAGGGCTGGAAGAACAAGCACATGCTACCATCTTTCCTTTTCATGTGGGTTCTGGGAATCCAACTGAGGGGTCTTGGCCTTTCCTGACTGGGCCATTTCCCCAGCCCCATACACAACAGCTTAAACACCACTGCATATTTTATGCCGGATTACAGGCATGTGCCACCACACCCACCTTCCAAATTATTTCAAAACACTAAAAACCTATGACTCTGGAACAGGAAGCTGGCAGCCCTCTCTCTGCCAGGCCTGCTGAGCCCAGAGATTACTTTGTTTTCCCGCCCCTGCCATCCTGTTTGTTCTGCCAGGCCGGTGGCGCTGCACCTTGTGCTCTGCACACGGTCAGGTCCAGACCTGTAGTCATGCCTGGAGCCCAGGAGCCCCTCCATGTTCTCCTAGGACCCATGCCGAGGCCATAAAATAGGAAAACAGCTTTGGTGTGCCTAAAACACACCCTAAAGACTAAGACGTCATTAAACGACCACAGAAAAGACTCAGTATGATGCCTGGCCCTCTTAGGAGAGTCAGAGCAAGTAAGGAGTAAAGGCAAGCCCTTCCCTAGAGATGAGCAGGAAAACCTACTCAACACGGCCCCTCCACCTGCCTAAGGCCCTCCACCTGCCTGGGGACCCTGCAGACAGCACCCAATTACTACTGTCAAATATTTCTCCAGATGTTTTTGGAAGAGTCAAATTGCCAGCATGTAATGCCTAGACCTGGATTACAAATTTCTGATTTAATTTTCCTCAGTTCTTGCTCTGACCCCTGACCAGGGCATCTCAACGCTCAACCGTAGGCCCTTGGGGAAATGGAGCTGTTGGCCTTTGCAAATGTGAATCTAAACAAACCAGCTAATCAGGAGCACACAGAGGAATGGAGGCCCGCATGCTCTGACCTGTCTGTTTTCAACACAGAAAATGAAGATCTGACATCAGCAACTTGAACTTACGATTTCTAACTTCAAATCGATTTCTGAAAAGCCCTTCTGGCCTCTTAACGTGCTTCTGCTGAAAAACTTCCTCGTCTTCCAGTGAGGTTCTTGCGTAGTGGCCAGTGGCAACGGCATCTGCTCCTGGAGGGTTTTAAAAACATGAGGCTCCAACATGAGACTCCAATTTCCCGGCCAGTCAAGGTGGCTGCACTTCCAGCTTAGGCGCCTGCAGACTGGGAACTGAACTTCTCACACAGTGGGAATGTTAAGGACTAACGTATACTTTGGTGGGCTCTTGATTTTTAGCATTATGTAGACGGAAAAAAATTGAGTATGCTGGATGGTCCTTCACTATTAATTATACATATTTATTAAAAATAACTGATAGTGGAAAAAAACAGAGTAACATTTCTCTAATCTCACTCCCAGAACCTAAGGAACAAATCTGTGATTTTTCATCTTTTTCTGTACATCAAAAATCTGTGGGATGATAGCATTACATAGCTTTCCTGTGCTTAAGAGTACTACAGGCATTGTCTTGACCAAACATGCATTGCCATTAAGGCTGTGGCATCAGAGACTGAGCTGCTGCTCCTGGGCTTTAGGGATACAGTGTTACATCTCGACTCCTTGTCTCACAGCCCCTTTCCTTAATAACTACCACCTGTACTGATGTGGATTCCACCAGAAGTCCTACGATTTCAGAAGACTACATTTCATCTGTTTGGTCATAAAGTGGGCTTCTAGGAAAGGCTATTAAAATGGCTTCAAACCCAGAGCAGAATCAGGGCCCAGAAAGGCAGGGAGATACTGAACAGGGAAGCAGGTAGGTAGGAGCTAAGAGACCACACACCAGCCCTGCAACTCCACCAGGCCACCTATGTCACAGCCCAGCCAGAACCAGAAACAAATGCTTCTAAAAGACAAGGCGGCCTCTGGTCTCCTGGGGGCCACACCTGAGCACAGCACTCCCTCCCATTTTAAGCAGTCTTCTCCTCACCAGGGTAGAACAGTGACACCAGGACCCTGGTCCTGGCCTGATGCTGAGCAGTTTGCTGACTCCATCTTGGGCTGGTCTGGCTCTGGCCAGGCATTCATTCATTCATTCATTCATTCATTCATTCATTCATTCGTTTGTTCATTCACTGAGACACAGTTTGGTTACTTAGCAGGACAGCCTGGAAAGCACTATAAAGCCTGGCTAGCCTCAGCTCACAGCCCTGCTTAGCCTCTCCAGTGCTAGGATGACAAGCATGTGACATGCTTCTGGCTCCTCGGCTAGAACCTTGAAGGTGCTGCTGTCTTTGGCATTTCCCAAAGTTCTAGCCTTGCTGGTCCATGTGCAACAGCACCCACTAGTGTTCTCCACAGGCCTGTTTTTGGTTTCTTTTCTTCACTGATGTATCTGTTGAGTTACTACTGATTTAATATCTGAGTCCTTTTTTCTGAGAATCTCCTCCTAAGGCACTGTCACCTTTTAGCCTTTAGGTCAGAGACCTTCCCTCAGATATGTGAAGTCAGATGTCTGCCTGACCAAGGCGGAGGGTACCTCTCGTACTGTTTACACTGAACTAGAACGTTCTTTCTTATTCAGTGAGTACTTTCCTTCTGAAAGACAAAACTGTCTATAAGGTTTTGACTTCTATGTGTGAAATATCTGTGATTCTAAGAAACAAAGGGAGCACTCCCAGTTCCTTACCAAGATTATCCACAGCATAGTGATAAAAGCAGCTGAACTTGATGTGCTTGTTGCAGACTATGTCAGGGTTGGGGGTCCTCCCCTTCTCATACTCATTCAAAAAGTCACTGGAATAAAAGAAAATCTTTAGTCTTAAGTGAGCTATTCCTTAAAAAGTAAATTTATCCTACACTTGGCTGCAAAATGTGACTCTTTAATAATGAAATTACTGAGAGCTACGTTTGTTAAGTGCCTGTAAATGTACCAGACACCATCCTAGAACCCTATATAACCTCATCTCAGTCTTACATTGCCCCCTGGCAGGCATTAGCATTATTCTTAATTTAAGGATAAGAAAATCAAGACTTAGAAAAATCAAGTAAGTTGCCCAAGGTTTTCTAAGTGGCAAAGTCAAGACTGAGGCCCATTTAGGTCAGGGCACCCTGCACTGGGACTGCCCTGCTGTTGCAGACACCTTCAAGGGCAGGTGCCTGTCATTTAGCATCACCAGGCTTCATCCGGACTAGTCCTAGGTGCCCTTTTCTGCAGGACCAAGTGGCTAGCCAAATTTTACATGTTTCTGAAACACATGGGCATTCCTCACCCCCAGACCACACTCTGCCACACCTGTCTCCTTCCTTTCAACCCGAGGCATTTCCCACAGGTTCTCAACGCCATCACCACCACCTCTTGCAAAGATCCTAGCTGTCCACCTAGATGGCAAATTTCTACAAAATGGGGTCATGGTATATACACTTTGTGTCCCAGATGCAGCACAGTCCCAAGCACATAGAGAATGGTAATAATGACGGAGCTGCATTTGGTTTTATGGGAAAAGGCAGGGGGTAGTGCCTCACAAAACTCCTGTTTTCAAGCTCCCACAACCACTGACTCACACAGTACACGGCACTGGCACTCATCTTCCAGCATCTTCTGAGACCGCAGCCCTCACTCCTCACTCTAACTTAGCAGAAACATGTCAAGGTTGAAAAGGGCATTGAAGAAACATCTGGAGGTGACAACACAACAAAAGTAGGGGTGCTAGGGTTGCTGTGGGGCCCCCAGGGCACTGCGTCAAGGGCTTTAGCACAGTCCTGGACACTCTGCGGAGAAGCACTGGCTGCATGGGCATTAGTCTGACTGGTGACCGCACAGGAACCCTTCTATGTACGGTGGCCTGTGCTCACCTGAACACATCGTTCCAATACTCCTTCACATAGGACACTTGGTGGAAAGGGATGTCTAAGACCTGGCAAACTTTATAAGCATCCTCACAGTCTTTGTCAGCAGCACAAACACCATGTTCATCCAGCGAGTCCCAGTTCTTCATAAACACTCCTGTCACGTGGTAACCTGGGGGAGAGAGGTTAGGGTAAAACAAAGCAGGGACTTCTGTGCTCTCAGCAGTTTCTGACACACTGCATCCCTCCCAGCTCTCACGCCTCTGTGCAGCTTTTTAATTAATTTTAGGTGTATGAGTGTTTTGCCTGCATGTATGTAATGCCTGCACGTGCATACAATACCCTTGGAGGCCATAAGGGGACATCCGATCCTCTAGAACTAGAGTTACAGTCAGTTGTTAGCTGCCATGTGGGTGCTGGGAACCAAACCTGGGTCCTCTGGAAGAGCAGCCATAGCCGAACTGCTAAACCACCTTGCTAGCCCCACCCTACTTCTTTTACTTTTTCGTTTTCTAAAGCTGTGTATGAGTGTTTTGCCTGCATGTGTGGAAGTGTACCACATGCGTGCAAGTCAGCAAAACCCAGAAAAGGGCATTGGATCCCCTGAAACTGGAGTTACAGGTGGCTGTTATGCTGGGAACAGAAACCAGTCCTCTGCAAGAGCACCAGGTGCTCCTAACTGCTGAGCCATCTCTCCAACCAGCCTCTGTGCATCTGGTGGCAATCCAGGCCTGGCTGTGCAGACTGAGGGCCTGGCTTACCCTTGGCGCAAGGCCTTGAAGCACTTCTTCCACTTGGCTTGCCGCACTGCATTAAGGCCTCATCATCACAGTACATTATGTACTAAAGTTGTCTGAATCTCCAAAGTGAGTAAAATGGGATTTTTCTCACCTTGTGTCCCCACCCATGCATCAAAAAAAATGCTTACCCTATAGAAGGGACCCCTATGCAGGGACATACAGAATGTCTAGATGAGAGAGTGGACGGTGAGCACAAACACACTTTCCAAGTCAAAGCGCCACTCAGCCAGGTGCGGTAGCAGCACACCTAAAACCTCAGTATGTGCAAAGCTAAGGCAGGAAAATGCTGAGTTTGAAGCTCAAGCTACACGGCAAGATCTTATTTAAAAAATCATTCAGCTGGGCGTGGTAGCACAGCACTCGAGAAGCAAAGGCAGGTGGATCTCCGTCAGTTCAAGGCCAGCCTAGTTCACATAGTGAGTTCCAGGACAGCTGGGGCTAAAGGGAGACCCTGTCTCAAAAAGACCCCCCCCAAAAAAAATCATTCAGTTAGATTTTTTTTTTTTAAATCAGGCTGAGGGTATAGCTCAGTGGGAAACTTCATACTTAGCATGGTTAATGTCCTGGGTCCAACCCCAACATTAATCAATCAAATATTGGCTATTTTATTATAGGGGCTCTTCCACCTATACATTTTATGACCCATCTTTCCTTATTTTACTGTGACAAATACCCAACCAAATAGCAGAAAGGTCAGAAAGGTAACCCTCCAGCACCTCAGCAAACTCACAGAGCAGAAATCTGTTTCTATTGGATAGGTTGAATGTAATCTATTAAAGGTTTCAAGTAGTATCCTCCGACCCCAAGAGAAAAGTATGCAGGGATCTCACTGCCAAACGTTTGCCAAATAAAGAAGCCACACTACTAAGGCCATCTCCATCCCGGGACCAGTCAGCTCCTCTCCTGCACCCGACTCTGCTTCAACAAAAGTTAACCACACTGGGCTCAGCTCTTCAGCCAGTCTTCCATGAAACTTACTAAAACGGAAATGGTCTAATTCAATCCCATGCCCCCACTGCCTAGTACACTACCCAGTATAAAAGGGGAACCAAGAATCAAGGTGCTTGTAGAAGGAATACACTGACAGAACTTTAGAACTCTACAATTCCCATGCCTCATCTGCCTGACCAATCGTCCTAGTTTATTTCTTCATTGCTATGACAAAACACTCTGACCACTACCAACTTGGGGAGGAAAGGGTTTATTTGGCTTACATCGCCCAGGTCACTCACTGGTCATCAGGGAGCCCAAGGTAGGAACTCAGGGCAGGAACCTGGAGACAGGAGCTGGAGCACAGGCCATGGAAGAACACTGCTTACTGGCTAACTTTCTTGGCCCAGCCTGCTTTCTTATGCAACACAGGCCCACCTGCCCAGGGGTGGCATCACCCACACTGGGCTGGGCCCTCCCACATCACTCAACAATCAAGAGGGTGCCCCATGGACATGGCTATAGGCCAGCCCAGTAAAGAAAATTCCCCAATTGAGGCTCCCTCAACCCAGGTGTATCAAGTTGACACTAAAGCTTATCCAACACAACTGACCCCTTGTCAACTTGACACACAATCACTTTTTTTTTTTGTCTTTTCGAGACAGGGTCTCCCTGTAGCCCCAGCTGACCTGCACTCACTTTGTAGACCAGGCTGGCCTTGAACTCACAAAGATCCGCCTGCCTCTGCCTCCCAAGTGCTGGGACTAAAGGCATGCGTCACCACGCCTGGCTATTAAACCATAACCTTTCCAATTCTTGTCCCCAAGATGTTAATATTAGTATCACAACATAAGACAGTTACGACCTTAAAAACCCCACAGTCCTTAAAAAAATCCGAACACTTAAAAGTCCATAGTCTCTTTTAAGTCTCTTAACTGTGGGTAGGCTTCTGTAAAATCCAAAACAAGTACTGTCTTATTTCAAAGGGAAGAACTGGGCACACCTAAGCAAAACCAAAGTCGCACAAAGCAGCTCGAGGCTAGACATCTGGGATTCACTCACGATCTTCTGGGCTCCAAAGGGTTCTGGCAGCTCCACTTCTCTGACTGGGCTGTCCACAGCACACAAAGCTCATCTTGTAGACCCAGGCCAGCTCCATTCCACACCTACTGTTGTCATTGGTGGTTGTCCCATGGTCCCGGCATCTCCACTGAAACTGAGGCTATACCTTCACCAATGGCCTCTTCTTGCCTCTTGGGGTGCAAAGGCCTCAGATTCTCTCCATGACCCCTACAATCCTGGGGTCTTCAGTGCAACTGAAGCTGCACTTTCACCTATGGCCTTTCCTGGCCTCTCGGAGTGCCAAACTTCAGCTGCTCTGTGACCCCTTCACGCCTTCAACACCAGAACCATGCAGGAGACTCTTACACATTACCAAGTCCTGCTTCCAGCTTGAGATGGAGGTGCGGGTCCCCTCTGTGTGCTGACCCTGAGGAAATGTCTCCCAGAAGATTTCACCACAGTGATGCTGGTCTCTTGTTACTTACAGCTTATTTTTCAGCCCCAGCTAACCAGCATCAATTGTCCCAGTAAAGCAAAAGTTTTACTTCAGGTTCTGGTCTCTTCTTAATCACAGCTGATTCTTCAGCCCCAGCCGACCAGAACCCAGATTCTCAATTCAAAACATCACACCAACAGCCCTGATAGTCTCTGCTTCCCTTTGAAGCTTTACAAGCCAAGCCTCCATTATTCACAACTCTTTCAGCATAACTGTTCCAAGCTCCACAGCAACAAACTCTTAAGCATGCAATGGTTTTTTTCCATCCCAAAGTTCCAAACACTTCTACAATCCTCCTAAAAACACCAAGGTCAGGTCTGTCACAGCAATACCCCATGGTCCTGGTACTAATTTCTGTCCTAGTTTGTTTCTCCATTGCTGTGAAAAAACACTCTGACCATTACCAACTTGGGGAGGAAAGGGTTTATCTTACATCTCCTGGGTTACAGTTCATCAGGGAGCCCAAGGTAGGAACTCAGGGCAGGAACCTGGAGGCAGGAGCTGGAGCACAGGCCATGGAGGAACACTGCTTACTGGCTTGCTCCCCTGGCCCCTGCTCAGCCTGCTTCCTTATGAAACACAGGCCCACCTGCACAGGGGTGGCACCACCCACAGTGGGCTGGGCCCTCCCACATCACTCAACAATCAAGAAGATGCCCCCTTCCTTATGAAACACAGGCCCACCTGCACAGGGGTGGCACCACCCACAGTGGGCTGGGCCCTCCCACATCACTCATCAAGAAGATGCCCCTCAGACATGGCCACAGGCCAACCCAATGAAGGCAACTCCCTAATTGAGGCTCCCTCAACCCAGGTGTGTCAAGTTGACACTAAAGCTATCCAGCATACCAATGTTCCGTGAAGGGACATGACCCACTTGTGGGGATGGCCCTCCAGGATGGGCCAATTTTTGAGGGTATGTATGTCAGGGCATCACCTCCGAGAGCCCTTAATGCCCAAATCAGCGGCATTATAAGATACATCAGTTCCCTCCATGAAATTCAGAGCAGTCTGGAGATGTTAGTCTGGGGTCTAACCTCCTGAGGTAGTAAGTGATGAATCAGGAAGACTGGTAACTCTGCTGTCTCACAAACTACCTACTCACAGTCCTCATCAGAAACTTTTAACGGCTCTCAACTGTCTACTCAACATGACATGGAATTCCCTAATAATGCAGCTTCTGTATGTGGGGTGCAACCTTCTGGGCCTGGCCTGGTCAGACCTCTGAGTCCTGCCTCTTGCTGACTCTCTGCCTGTCTCAGCTCTGAGCAGCTTTGAGTCATTCTGTTCACAGTGTGCCTGCTTATGGCTCTGTGTTATAAGATGTATGGATAACCACTTCTGTTTCTGGAAGTAAACCTTTTAATAAGATGTATATCCATAACCAGGGCTGGAGAGCTGGCTCGAGTAAAGAGCACTGGTTGCTCTTAGAGGACCCAGGTTTGGTTCCCAGCACCCACATGGCAGCTACAAATCTATAACTCCAGTTGCAGATCTGATACCAATCTGTAACTCCAGATCTGATGCCCTCGTCTGATTTTTGTGGGCAATGCATGACATAGGTGCACTTAGCAGGCAATAGTCATACACACAAAATTAAAATTTTTTAAAAATTTCAAAGACATATCCATAACCACCTCTTTCTGGAAGTAAACCTTTAATAGGATGTACCCATGACTGGAGCTGGATAGATGCCTCAGCAGTTAAGAGCACTAGCTGCTCTTACAGAGGGCCTGGCTGGATTCCCAGCACCCGCGTGGCAGCTAACAACTGTCTCTTAACTCCAGTTCCAGGGGATCGGACGCCCTCTTCTGGGCACCATGGTACTGTACTACACGGGTGCACTTACACACATGCAGGCAATACAATCACACAAAATAATAACTTTTTTAAAAGTACCCATAAGCACCTGTTTCCGGAAGTAGATCTTTTTCTTAATATTTGTTTTTATTAAAATATGTCATGACCACCTGTTTCCGGAAGTACCTCGTACGTGCGAAGCACGAGTGAACCTTCCAGTGCAGCTTTTACCCCCCCAGGCATCTGACTCTACAGAGAAGGGACTTGCCCAAGCTCTGCCACGTTCCCCGGGGACGACGACTCTCAGCTGGGCCTCCATGAACCCTGCGGCCTGACTGGGGAATGAGGTGAACGTGGACCACAGCAGGGTGTAGACGGGGGAGGGGGGGGAGAGTCCCGCAAGCCCCTCGGCGTCCAGAAGACGCGCTACGGAGCCGGGCGCGCGGCGGATGGGCGGGTGGGGTGTGTGTGACCGCGAAGCCCGAAGCACCAGGCCTCAGGCTGCGGAGCCCCGGGGCTCGCTGCGGTCGCGGCCGCTCGCCTCACCTCTCCGCTTCAGCAGCAGCGCGGCCACCGCGCTGTCCACGCCGCCTGACAGGGCGCACACGACGTGCCGCACCGCCGACATCCGCCCGCTGCCCAACTTCCTCCTGCAGCCGCGGGGGCCTCGGCCGCGGGTCACCGGAAGTCCCGCCCTCGGCGTGCCTCGCTCCCGGAAACGCGCTTCGGTGGGTCCGGGGTCGCCACCGCTGAGGCTGGCGGAGGTGATGCGAGGTTGCGAGCGCACATGGGGGGAAGAGGACGCTAGCGGGAGCTGCCGGCCTCCCCGCTGCTCTTCTGCACTCCTTTTTATTTTATTTTATGTTTTATTATTATTTCTTTTTGAGACAGGGTCTTCCTGTAGCCTGGAACTCACTATGTAGACCAGGCTGGCCTCGAACTCACAGAGATCCGCCTGCCTCTACCTCCCGAGTGCTGGGATTAAAGGCGTGCGCCACCACGCCCGGCGTGCACTCCTTTTTAAAAGAATATTTAGTTTATTACTTGTATTTTACGTGTATGAGTGTATTGCTTGCATATATGTAAGTGCACCCGAGTCATGCAGTGCCTTGGGAGGTCAGAAGAGGGCATTGGATTCCCTGAAACTGGAGTTACAGGTGGTTGTTAGCCTACAAGTGGGTGCTGGGACCCGAACCAGGATCCTCTGCAAGAGCAGCCAGTGCTCCTAACCACTATGCCATCTCTCCAGCCCCCTTCGTAAAATTTTTTATTTATTTGTATTTTATGAGTGTGTTTTTCTGCATGTATGTAAGTGCACCACATGAATGCAATACCTGTAATGGCCAGATTTCCTTGAGTTACAGATAGTTATTAACCGCCATGTGGGTGCTGTGAATTGAACCAGGGTCCTTTGTGAGAGCAGTCAGTGCTCCTAACTGCTGAGCATTCCTCCAGCCCTCTCATCACTTCTCTGTACTGACTGTGCTCTTGGGTCTGGTGCACTTGGGAACAGCCCTGGCTCCCAGAGGCATTCAAGGCGCTCAGGGTGGGGACACAGTGTGTGTCCCCCAGGGGCATCCAGGACGGGAGGGAGAGCAGGCAGAAGGTCTGCCTGGTGCAGAGGCCTGGGCCTGGACCGGAGGTGGATTGTAGAGCAGTGAAGTTTTCCTGCTGCCTGAGGGAGAGCGCAGTAGGAACGTGGAGGAGGCCCAGGCTGTGACCTGTGAATGGTACAGGGTGTGTAGTTCACCCTGGTGCAGTCAACCTGCAGACGCCAGCACTTGGGAGTTTCTGTCTCATGGGCCATGCCTGGGGGAGGAACAGAAGCCTGCAGGGCCAACTCTAATGGGTGGATGCCTTGGGGGCCTCAATCTGGAGCTGTGGCTGTTCCTGAGGGCACATGGGATGGTAGCTGCTGACAGTTGCTACATACCTATCTACATGTGCCGGGCCTCAATCTGGAGCTGTGGCTGTTCCTGAGGGCACATGGGATGGTAGCTGCTGACAGTTGCTACATACCTATCTACATGTGCCGGGCCTCAATCTGGAGCTGTGGCTGTTCCTGAGGGCACATGGGATGGTAGCTGCTGACAGTTGCTACATACCTATCTACATGTGCCGGGCCTAGAGGACTGTGGGGTGAAGCAAATGAGGCCCAGCAGGAGACCAGGTAAGGCAAGAGTTGTGTGTGTGGAGTGACCAGCCAAGGATTACACAGCTCAGCCTAGAGGACCCAGCCCTGCCTTCTGGAGTGTGGACATTTAAGTCCCACTTTCCCTGCCAGAGCCAAAAGGTGTTTGGTGTGCCAGGACTAACCAATAATGTAACAGAAACATGATAAACTCACTATATATTTGTCTTTCCAATGAAACACATGGTATTTTAGGTACCCTATGGCTCCAAGAAGTCACCTCGAACCAGCCGTGACAAAGACAGCAAACGTGACAGTTGCCGCCAGCCAACGGGACAAAAGGCATGTGGATTTCAGAAACAGGAAACACTGGCCACACGAAATTAGTGAAATGTGGCAAAAAATCAAAGGAAGCAGACTGGGGGAGTGTGGAGCTTTGGTGTCAGTCCCGCAGTCCCTTCTGAGTCTCCAACCCATGTCACAATCACACAGCTGACTTTCTGAATTGTGATCTTGGGGGAACCAGGAGAGGAAAGGCTTCAGGCAAAGCTGCTGTTGAGCAGCCTCAGAGGGGAAAGCGGTAGGACTATAGCACAGGCTTCTGGCCTCGCAGACTGAGGTTGGCCCCCAGCAGAGCCCAGCTGCATGAAGGAAAAGTATTGCATGTACACAGCCAGGACGCAGGGATGTAGGTTAAGACCTGCCCAGCCCCGGTGAGGAGACCACCAGGCAGTTTGGTTACCATAGAGGGAGGGGATGCAGCAGCAGCTCTGCACCCTACCTTATCCCCAGAAAAAAATGCAGCCCAGCCCATACTGCAGACTCAATAAACACTAACTCAGTTATTGAGCTCAATTCCACGTTCATTTTCCTCTCCTTGTAGGAGGAACTGGATAGTGAATCCAAGGGCACTTGGTGCTAATGCTCAAGACTCCTGAATTCTTAACTCCCATTAGGGAACGATCTGCTATGATCCCTCTGGCGTCTGCCTCAGCTTGCCAGGACTGTTTGAAGACCTCAGTAAGTCATCCCAGCATGCCTGCCCTTCAGACAGCCTCAGGTACAGATGCTGCAGTACAGCTCCTGAAATGCACTCACGCTGTCACTGCTGATGCCACAACCACACTGCAGAGGTCAGCTTTGTATGCCCTGCATAGCCAGAGAAGCCCGTCCAGTCTTCCCTCCCCCTCAGCTATGGACAGGGGAGGCCCCCAACTGATGCAGGGGCACAAGTAGAGGAGCCTGCTCTCATTCATAGAGTGGCTTCCAGGCCAGGTAGTCTGTAGGAAATGAGGCTTCAAGTAGGGCACTGGCTTTCTGGTAACCTTACCTCCCAGTTTCCCACAACATGTTGGGTATGTCCCCTAGAAGCACCCCAGGGGAGAGAGGCAGGCTCACCCCCTCACCACCACGCTCAGATAGAGCCTTCCTCACAGCCCACATTCCCTTTACCCTTTGCACTGCAGCTGCCCAGAGCAGCCTCTGAAAGGTGTGCTCCTTAGATCACTGCACCAGAATCAGTGTAAGCAATGCAAGTTCCCAGGACTCCAGATGAGGGGCCAGTGTAGCTAGTGTGGGCCAGGGGCTTACATTTATGCCAGTTTTATTTACCCTAAACTTTATAAAGTGAAAGTTGGATAACAGAGGTCTTGAATAGTGATTAGAGTGATGAAAATTGCTGTGCATGTTGAATATCAAGCTTAAAAATCAAGTATGCTTTAATACACTTTTTTACTTAATTTAAATCTAGAATAATTAACTTTTCAAACAAACAAGTTTAAAAATAGTCACATACTATTTTACATGGAAAAAAATCAAAACAAAATATTTTGAGAGTTGTTCCAGCCTAGCAGAAAGGCAGGGATGGGGGGGCTCCAGAGGCAGAGTGCTCAGGTCCATACTTAGAACACCCCACCCAGGTACCACTCCAGACAAGAAGCTAGTCTCTTCCCCCATCCATCAAATAACTTCTGAAACTCGTTCTAAGGATCTAAAGCCACAAGAGCAGCGTCATGTTCTACTCAGAACTTGAGAAGTGGTGAGTCCATATTTTCTTTCTCCGCCTCGGGGCTCAGCTGGATCAGAGGAGAGCCCAGGTCAATCAGCTGGAAGAGAGCAGGGATGACAAGGTGAACACCACCACCCATGCTCGCCATCACATGTGCACCTACAGGAGGCTGCGGGGACGAAACCAATCCTACTTGGGCTCAGGGACAGAAAAACAACTCAGCACACTGGAGCAGGAACTATAAAGGACACCCCTAGGCATGTATCTGAGACATTGGAGAGAAAGCTAAACCCTCGGACCCTACAGCCTCCTGAACCGTGGGCAGGGTAGATGTAGTGCTGGAGATACTGTGCTGTCCTGAAGCAGCGGGAGCTCTAGCATGACACCCTGATGGCAACAGGTGATCTTAGGCCAAGGCCACAGCAGGAGTCACAAGGAGACACGGGGCCTAGGAGCCTCAAGGGCCACTGTGCAGGCCAGGACTGGCCCCAGGCTGAAGTCATCATGAATCCCCTGCTGCCTCTCACCTGCCCAAGCTTAGCCTTTAGAGGCTTCCCCACACCGTTTCTATCTGTGTCTGGAGTGTTCATCACCAGGTCGAGCAGGGGCTGGCTGCTGGGTCCCAAAGCCACGTTAGCCTCAGGGGTATTGCTAAAGTCGATGAGAGGGCGGTCAGCCAGGTCTCTGCCTCCTGCTTCAGGAGTGATGGTGAGCTGGTCCAGCCTGATGTCTACGAGAGCCTAGGCAGGGACATGGGGAGAGAAGTCTTAGACCATGCTAGCATCCAGCAACCACCTTGGGAAGCCACAGGCTTTGCCCCCGGCCCTGGGGGCTCATGGCTGAGTAGGCAGTACACCCAGATCTACAGCTAGCGGATGGAGCTGCAGGCCCACTCCCATTCCTGACCCCTGACCCCGACCAGCTCCTTTGCCGAAGACTTCTTCAGCCTAGGGTCTTGAGCCCCTCTTGAGTCTGCTGGAACCAGAGGCCGGTCACAAGGTGAAGGAGAGGAGAGGGAACTGTCAGTCCTCATCCTCACGTTACTCTGTGGCCTCCAGAGCAGCCCCGGGACCCTCCGTGCATTGCAGGCAGTACACGTGGGGTGCATCCACCTCTGCGTACCTCACTGGGGCACCCGTCTTCTCGAGGCTCTGCTTCGTCCTGAGCTGCCGCTATGGTGGAGCCTTGGGAAAGAGGAAAATCACTTTTCTCTGGAGAAAAGCGAAGTGCTTGAGGCACCGAGGAGGGCGGGGAGGAGCTCTCATCTGAGGACAGGCCCCAGCCCGCCTGCCCACCGGCCTTGCTGCCACTCGCCTGCGTCGATCCGGCTCTAGGGGGTAAAAGGGAGCAGGCTCTCGGCAAAAGCATCCTGTGCAGGGGCGCACGGCGCCTGGGCCAGATGCCTGCATGAGTGCCTACCCACAGGACAAGCCCACCTCAGGCCCCGTCTCTGTGCAAGAGGACTGAGTAATTTCCCAGGCTGCTTTCACCCCCAAATTCTATCAGACTGGCTCTGGCTTGTGCATGTCAGCCCTCTTTATGTGTGTGTGTGTGTGTGTGCACCTTTGTCCACATGCTGGGGCCAGCATGGCTTTTCCTGATTCCTAGACATAGCCCCTCTAGGCCTAGGTGAGCCGCCCTCCTGCCTGCCTGCCTGCCTGCCCCTCCCTGCTCTGCCCACCTCACACTAGCGGGTGTGACTGTTATGTGGTGTTTCTCTCTAGACAGTGACCTCAGCACCTAGCAGACCTGTTTGCTCAAAACTGAATTAACTGTGGAAGCCAGCAGTATCCACACATTAGGACGGAATTTTCATTTTTTAAGAGTTTCATAACAACATGGGAAGAAGTCAAGCTCTTCTGGTATTTGCACTTGCACTTACACACACACACACACACACACACACAGCCTGTTTGTGTGCTGGGCCTTCAGCTTCATGTAGCCTTCTATCTTCTCCTCCCTGTTTTCTACACCTCCCCAACACATGAGACTCTTGTGGTCTGATGAACTAGAGACAAACTCATTCAACCTTTGTTCTTTACCTTACGGCAGATCTTTTCCGAGGCTCAGAAGAAAGTCGCCGAGCAGGCACACACAGGGGGGACACCAGAGGCCTGGGCATAGTCTGAGGTGTCATCAGTGGAAGGCCAGGGAGGCTCCGGCTGGCAGGCGTAGGCAAGGTTGACCTCCGTCTTGCACTCATGGGGGTCTTCATGCTGGTTGGCAGGCCTTGCGGAGTGGGCCCAGATGAGCGTCTCACAGGAGTGCTGTGGACAACCCTGGCAAAGACACAGAAGTCTTGCACTCAGGTGCTGAACCAGCTGGAGTCTAGAGGCTGGCCAGTGGCTAACTCGGTGCCAAGCCTAGATTTCAAGAGAAGAGCCAGCCGGGGATCTGGGTGGGCTCTGTTCTTGAGAAGGGGTTCTAGCATGGTTAGGACCAAGGCTGCTGCCAGCCCCATGAGACCCTGGGTAGGCTTCAAGTTCCTCAGCAGGCAGTGACGTCCCTTCCCCCCAGGTAACTAAGATTGTCTCTGCAAATGTGGCTGTGTTCACGCACCGTCCACGGGAGTCAGAAGAGTGAGCATGGCCAGGACACAGACTCAGGAGCCTCTGGCTGCGCAGGTGAACTGAGAGCAAAAGGCACCTGGAGCACGCTCCTTAGGCACTCAGGTCCTTGGCAGTACCAGCCTCTGACTACCAACATCTTGTCCAACTGTGTGTTTGTCGTTCTTAAACAAGAGGCTACATCAAGTCGGTTGATGCCAGCTATGGTCTAAACGTTTGTATAACCTCAAATTCATATGCTGAAGCCTGACTCCCAAGATGATACACAGGAAACTGCCTCTGGGAGGTAAGTCAGAGCCCAGTAAACAGATGAGTGCCCTCATGAAGGAGCCTCCAGACCCTGTTTGCCCTGCCACCATGTGAAGACACGGTAGAGTGCTATCTGTGAACCAAGCATGGCCCCGCATCAGACACTGCGGGTACCTTGATCCCGGACTTCCAGCCTCCAGAACTGTGAGCACTACATTCCTGTTACTTAAATCTTCAGACACCCAGCCTGATGGCACATGCTTGAAGTCCCAGCACTTTGGAGGCTAAGGCAAGAAGCTCAAGTATGAGGCTAGCCTAGGCTACACAGAGTGACTTTCGTTACAAAACAAAACAAAAAATACATTTTGTGTCCTTGTTATAGTAGCCCTAGAGGACTGAACGTTGGAACACTCAAGGACGTATTGCCAACGTGGAGCCCCAGCAGGTTTGGAAGTCACCTACCAGTCCTCTCGTCCCTCACAGACAACTGTGTGCTGAACAAATCTGGGAAAAAACTAAGTAACGAGCTGGAAGACAGGCCCTTGCACAGCCCACATGCAGGCAGGAGAGGCGCTATCAATGGAGTTCCTTCCTCTGCCCAGGGCTGGACCACTGCCCCACCCTTCTCTCTATGGCTGACACTTGCTGCCCCGACACAAGCTCCAGTAAACAAGAATGTCCACAGACGCAGCCTTTACTCAAGTCCTGAAGGCAGGAGATACCTTCTTATTTTCCAAGTAAAGAACCTGAGACAGGCAGAAGAGGCAGGAAGTGGCTGCCTAACTCTGGGGTTTGCATGGGAAGAAAGTGCCTCAGTATGGCCACTGCTCTAAGAGAATGGTCTGGGATCTGACTCCCACCACCACCCTCACCCCCAGCCCCAAAGCACAGTGCAATATCACTTCTGAGGATGAGAAAGCTTAAAGCTATCGAAGGCTGGCTAATGCCCCAGCCAGTTCACGGCAGAACCATTAGAGTAAAGGATGCAGCGAGGACACCTGGGCGTGTACATGCACCTTTAATTCCAGCACATGGGAGGCAGAGGTAGGCCTGGACAAGACTCTACCATAGAAATGAGAAAGAATAGGGTCTGGAGAGATTGCTCGGTGGTTAAGAGCACTGACTGCTCCTACAGAACCCAGGGTTCGAGTCCCAGCACCACATGGTGGCTAATTCCAGGGGATCTGACACCCTCTTCTGACCACTGCAGGCACTGCATGACACGGGTGCACATACACACATGCAGGCAATACACTCACATAAAATAAAATTAAATATTTTGTGGGGATTTGGAGAGATAGCTCAACAGTTAAGAGCACTTGCAGAGGACTGGGGCTCAATTCCATGTACCTACATGGCAGCTAATAACCATCTGTAACTCCAGTTCCAGGGGATTCAATGCCCTCTTCTGACTTTGGTGGGTATTGCACAGCATGGGTACACTTACATGGAAAAATACACTGATACACATGAAAAATAAAATAAAGCTTTTTTTAAAAAAGAAATAAAGTATTTTAAAAAGTAAGAAAAATAGGGGCTGGAGATTGCTCAGTGGTTAAGAGCACTGGCTGTTCTTCCAGAGGACCTGGGTTCAGTTCCCAGCCCCCAGGTGGTAGCTAACAACTGTCTGTTAACTCCAGTTCCAAGGGATCCAATGCCCTCTTCTGGTCTCATAGGCATCGCAGGACACAGCTACCCTTACACACATGCAGGTAAAACACACATACATGTAAAATAAAAATAAGTTAAAAAATAAATAAATAAATAAAAATAAAAAGGCCAGGTGTGGTGGTGCATGCCTTTAATCCCAGCATGTAGGAGGCAGAGGTAGGTGGGTATCTGTGAGATTGAGGCCAGCCAGGTCTACAAAGCCAGTTCCTGAACAGCTGGGGCTGACCCTGTCTCAAAAAGACAAAAAGAGGGAGTTTGAGTCAGGCTGCCATTTCAGGAGTCCTGGGTTCCCAGGAGCCCCGGCTTCCAGGCACCTGTGTTTTGTGTGCTGTAGGCTTCCACTTGACCAGTCATGTGCCATGTTGGGCCTGAGAGCATCCAAGGGACTTTCAGGGTCTTGCACTAGGTCACAGATCAGGAGTCAAACCCAACTTGGAACAACTGTACCACACCATGGTCCCCAAATGTGCACACACCAGTTACCTGGAGAACTTTCAGAATATGCTGGGGTTCTCGGAAGGAAGGAGAGGAGTGGACCCCGTCAGTTACCTGCCAGATGACGTCCAGGACTGCTGCCGCTGTGGCCGTGAGAACTTCGGTGTCACACTGTTTGGCGACTCACCTAAGATCAGGAGAGGAAGCCAGTCAGAAGACAGCCACATGGAAAACCTGTGGAAGGTCTCACTGCCTGGGCGCCCTCTCTGACTGTCTCTGCTTCACCAAGTACAGACTGAAGGTCAGATGGAGCACACAGAGAAAGCTGCACTGGTCCTGGTCCCTTCCCGGGACCCAGCCGAGGCAAGGCCGGGTCTGATGCGGAGAAGCCTCTGTACCGTCCTTTCACTGGCTGCTTTTCAAACAACCAGCAGGCTCATCCCAAGTTTCCTCTGCCAGTCAGGCCACTCCCTGAAGTCATGTGTCCACAAAAAGGACAGCATTGTGTGCATGGGGTCCCAGACAAGCCGCAAAGCCCATGGTGCTTCTCTCCCTAAGCTGTGGCATAGCTCAGTGACATGTCACTTATGTGCTGTGCTACAGGTGGCAAGCATCGGTGTGACAGGTATAAGCAGCTAAGTTCAGGGTGGGGTTGCCAGCCACTAAGCACAGCACAACCCTGATGGCCCACCACAACACTGTCCCTCTACCATGCCTCCCGTGATCCTCAAGAGTCAGTCAAATGTGCCATTGGGTCCCAAAGGGGGCAGGACCTCCACGTACCACCTTGCTGTCTTGGAAGCCATGGGCCAAGGGTCCATCACCAGAGCCCCAGCCACCAAAGGGGCCCTTCTTAGCAGGCACAACAAGGCCAGGCAAAGCTCCAGGCCACCGTCACCACAGCAACACCCTTCTGTCACCAACCACTCTAAGCCTATTGCCTCCCCCAACCCCTCTGCAGTCCTGTCCCTGGCCTGCACCTTCACATTCACACCTGAGAGCTACTTGTGCCTCCACCCTGATCACTTCCCACCCGTGCTTAAAATTGCTCCTGTCAAGGTGACTGGAGTTTTGCCACCCTGCTCCCGGCGTGCTTGGTGCTCCTGGCACCCTTTACTTCACTCTCCTAAGTCACACGCTTCCTTCCTGCCACTCCATGTTCAGAGCTCTTGGTGTCCTGGGACTGCCTTGCTCCCTGGGCCCCACCCATGCAGCCCTGCTGCCTCAGCAGATGCACACAGCAGGGCCACTGACAGTCCCACATCCTCCAGACTTTGACATGGGAGAGAAACATTTTTACATAAACCAATGCTATTTGGGGCTTGCAGTAAGATCTGCTCCACCCCAGTTCTCCCTGCTCTAGCCCTCATTCCCCTTAGAGCTCACACGCCTTTCTGCCACAGGACCGTTGCATCACAATTCCTCTGCCTGCAGTGTTCTCCCTTTGGGTTGCCTAGTGGTTGCCTCCTCCCCAGCTTCCTATCTCAGCTCAGTGTTGCCACTTGACCACCAAAAAGACTTCTTTCCCAATGTACCCACCAGTCACTGATACCATCCTTTCTCAGTTCACGGAACTTAAGATCTGAAAGGATACTTACTTGGCACACCCCTTATCTTTTATTAAATGTAAATTCTGTGAGGCTTGGATGCCTCTCCATAACATCTTTTGTCTCTAAGAAAGGCCTAGCACAAGATGCTCAGTGGAGGGGCTCAATCTTGGTTTGGTTTGGTTTGGTTTGGAGGCAGGGCCTCATTCTGTAGCCCAGGCTAACCTAGAACTCGTGATCCTCCAGCCTCAGCCTCCCTGGTGCTGGTATTACAGGTGGCAGCCACTATGTCTATCTATTTTACTTGTTCCCTCCCTACTTCTGAAAACTTACCAGGAGCAAAAGGAAATGCTATGAATGAGGGGCCGAGGTTGGCCAGCTAAGAGCCCGCAGAGCGTCTGCCACCACGTGCCCGAACCTCACCTTTGAAGACAGAGGTTCTAGTGGACGGACTGCCTGACCACGGCAGCAGGCTACAGAGGCTGCGGCCAGGAAAGCTCAGCTGCAGGCCAGATAAAGGCAAAGGCCAGCAGCCAAGAAAGAAAAAAGTCCTGCACCAAGCCACACTGGTCAACTCCAAACTTCCCAAACATGCAGAGGAGGTCCCCTTGGGAATGCCTGTAAGTTGGTAGGTGCCTTCTCACACTGTTGTTTTTTTTTAATCAAGAATTTTTTTTTTTTTTCCTTTTTTGTCTTTTTGAGACAGGGTCTCCCTGTAGCCCCAGCTGTCCTGGAACTCACTGTGTAGACCAGGCTGGCCTTGAACTCACAAAGATCCGCCTGCCTCTGCCTCCCGAGTGCTGGGATTAAAGACGTGCATCACCATGCCCAGCAAGAATAATTGTTTTTAAAAATATTTTATCTATTATTTTTATCTTACATGTATGAGTGTATTGCCTGCATGTATGTAAGTGCACCCATGTCATGCAGTGCCCATTGAGGTAAAAAAGAAGGCGCTGGATTCTCCTGGAACTGGAGTTATGGACAGTTGTTAGCCACGTGAGTGCTGGGGATCAAACCCAGGTCCTCTGCTAGAGCAGCCAGTTTTACCTGCTGAGCCATCTCTCCAGCCTCCAGGAAAGAATAGTTCTTACGCTGCAATTATAAGATTAATATAATTGATATGAAGGGTTTTTTACCTCTGACTATAGTTTCCTTTGCCTATTTCAAATCTGTTGACATTTCTGCTTATATTAAAATAAAAACAAAAAAAAACAGAAACAAATGGACATGAACACATGGCAAAGTTGTATCCCAAGCTTTTCTTAGGTCATTTTAGCCAAAATAAAAACTTTCAAACCAATGATAGTGCAACTTACAGCAACCCCATGACAGCCTAGATGCTGAGTCATCTTCAAAGTGAAAAATCAGGTCTGCTGGGCTATAGTTTTCCAAATAGTTCTGCCATGGCTGTGTTTGCTCAGTGAGTATGGTCATGTGTGTGGTATGTGCACACGTCTGCGGTGCATGTGCTTTGAGGCCGAGGACCTTATTCCCTTGAGACAGGCTCCCTTCACTGAGTCTGGAGCTTGGCTGGTGGCAGCAAGCCCCAGTGATCCTCTTGTCTCTGCTGCCTACAGGGCTGGGATTACGGGTTCAGGAAGCCAGCCATGCCTGGCTTTTCATTGGGTGCAGGGATCTGAACTCCTCAGCAAGAGTTCTTACCCACTGAGCCATCTTCACAGCCCAGTTCTGCCATTTTCAAACCACTTAATGCCTTTGATGAAAACTTTTTTTTTAAATTTATTTATTGTTTTTATTTTATGTATTGCCTGTGCACCTGTGTCACGCAATGCCCGTGGAGGTCAGAAGAGGCTGTCAAATCCCCTGAGACTGGAGTTATGGATAGCTGTTAGCTACAGTGTGGGTGCTGGGATTCGAACCCAGGTCTTCTGCAAGAATAGCCAGTGTTCTTAACTGCTGAGCCATTTCTCCAGCCCCATGATGAAAACTCTTTAAAGCTTAGCTCTAAGAAGAACTGAAAACCACTCGGTCCACTTTGCTGGAATTTCAGCAGTTCCTCTAACCCCAGCTATTCTACCCCACCACCACATAAAGTGGTGCCTGCAGGTGCCAGCCACTTCCTAGGAAATGATCCAAGAGGCCTAAGAGGAAGGAAAGGAACAAGCCATCTTCCTGGCAGACTAGAAACTCCAATGGAACTGATGAATAATGAGATCTGTGAAACAAGCCAATAAACTTGCCAGGCACAAGAACAATATAAAAAACAAACAGGCCAGGCATCCAGCCATTTGTAAACTAATTCTCGGCACTGCGTTCCCTTTCCATCTCCAACAACCGAGAACTGAGATCTTTGTGTCACCTGTGTTTATGTGCAATGCGTGTAGATGTGTGGCATGCTGTGTATACCAGGCCCACACCCTCAAGGGCGTCCAGTTTACAATAAGTAAATGTTCGCGTACATTAAAACTGTTTGGATTACTAACAGTTAACACGAACCCCAAATGCCTATTTATTCACATGACTGAAGTAAATCTTTTGTAATTTATAATCTGGCTTTAAATTTGTTGGTAAAATAAAGATGGAGATGTCTTCAAAACTGTGAGTCTCCATTAAAGGGATCCACTGAACTCTGTTGATGTCAAGGTCTTGACCAACATTCAAGTATGAAGATGGACCCATCTGTCTCCTTTGGCTTCCGTAGGCACTGCATGACACAGGTGCACTTACATGCTGGCAGTACACTCACACAACAAAATAAATATAAAAAAAAAAATGCATTCTATCTGAACTAGTTTTATTTCTTTCTAGAACAAAGCACATGTTTATAGATATGATAAAATAGATTCTCAGCAGGCAGCTCAATTGCTTTCTTAATCTCCAATCAGAATTTAAGGTTACTAAGAATTAACAATTCTAATTAACGTAGATAATTCTAAATTCAAAGAATATAAGGAAAAAGTTAAGATTTAAAAAAATATATTTTATTATTTTTATTTTATGTATATGAGTGTATTGCCTGCATGTAGGTAACTGCACCCATGTCACGCAGTGCCCTCAAGGACAGAAGAGGCCATCAGATCTCCTGGAACTGGAGTTATGGACAGTTGTTAGCTGCCATGTGGGTTCTAGGATTTGAACCCAGGTCTTCTGCAAGAACAACCAGTGTTCTTAACCGCTGACCCATCTCTCTAGCCTCCCACTCTGCAATTCTTTTAAGCACCTGCTATCTACCTGCCAGACTTTCTGGAGGAGGCAGGTGGATGGGGCAAGGCAGGGAAGGGCAGGATGGTCTTACTGCTGGATGGGACAGTGGCTAGAATCCAAAGGGCTGCGACAGCTAGAATCTGAGGCCCAAAGGACTAGAGAGAAGCCAGACAGAAAAAGAGAATTCTAGAAATCTCAGTGGAATCTCCTGAGTCTGTGACTAAACAGCAGGCAACATAGGGAGAGATGCCTGAGGGTCAAGTCAAGGGCAACTACTAGGGAATGAAGACTAGAGCTCAGAGTCCTGGGAACAGCTGCATTCCAACCAGCCCAAGTGGATGAACAGGCCAGCAGAACACTCAGCAGAGACCTGGGCAGAGCCCCACACTAATGGCAGGACTGAACTGCCCCAGATAACGTCCATTCTAGACCCGCCTGTGGGAGCTGAAACAAGGCGGGAGTGGACAGGCTGGTCTGCACACTCACTGCCTGCCAAACTGGGCTCAGCCCCTTACGGAAAACACAAAACCATGGAGGCAGAATTCCCAGTACCAGGCCAAAGCACTAACCCTCCAGGCAGACTGACGGAAAGCCAGCTTGATATGTAATGACTAAGCTGCTGCAGATCATGGTAAGACGGAGCCATCCAGGAGCAACGACTCATCCAGAGGAATAAACAGGCTCCCAATGGCCTCTCTAAACAACACAGGCAGACAGTGGAGCATGCCCCAGGCAGGATGTCAGAGTAAAAGAGGGCAAGATAACGGCAGCCGCACAAGAACTTGCCAAAACTTTACACTTTCTTCACTCTTAAAAAAAGCGCTGGCCACTCTTGTAGAGGACTCCAGTTCAGTTCCCAGCATTCATGTGGTGGCTAACAACTACCTGTAACTCCAGTGCCATGGAATCTGACACCTTCTTCTGGCTTCTGTGGGCACTGCATGCATGTGTACACTTAACATACGTGCAGACAAAACACTCATACACATAAAATAAAAATAAAAAGAGATTAAAAGATTTGCCAGGCATGGTGGTGCACGCCTTTAATTCTGGCACTTGGGAGGCAGAGGCAGGCGGATCTCTGTGAGTTCAAGGCCAGCCTGGTCTACATAGTGAGTTCCAGGACAGCTGGGGCTACAGGGAGACCCTGTCTCAAAAAGACAAAAAAAAAAAAAAAAAAAAAAATTAAACAATTTAAAAGGCAACAAAATCCATCTAATCCTTCCCAGGGGGAAGGCATCAAAATCCATCTAGTACTTACCAGGAGGAAACGGAGGGATTTTGAATGGATTTACAGGAGTGGACACAACCTTGGTCTTGGAGTTCGGATCGGACTCTTGCCTTCTTATGCTTCCAATTTTATTCAGTTGAAAAGACGGTGAAACAGAGTCAGGGTCCAGCTTAGGTCCTCCCAGGTCCGGGGTCCGGGGTTGGGTGAAAGGAGCTGTGGTGGGGACCTTGGGCTGCTCCGCTGTTGGCTGGGCACCATCAGTCCTACTGGCTTGTCTGTAAGATGCCCTGGAAGGGGCTGCTGGCAAAGCCTGGCGCAGGATGGTGGGTCCTATTTTGCCCAACTTGCTGGTGCTTGACAGAGGCCGGGAGCCACTGGCAGGAATACTTGCCAGTGGTTCACTGGGCTTCGCTGCAAGACAAGACAGTGAAGGCTGGTCACTCAAGCAACACTATTTCCAAACTATGACACCTCCACACACGAGGTATGGCACCTCTAGCCTGTCGACCTAATATCTGACACATGGACATCTGGATGCCCCTTGGGCTCTCATCAAAGGGAGGCTCAGAAGGACGCCTGAGCTGAGCGCTAATTCTCAGCACAGGTGCCATGGCCAGTCTACACAGCAAATGCAGCATGAAGAGGACTTCCTGAAAAGCATGGGGGCCAGAGACCTGCTCAGTAGCTGAGATGAGAGCTGGGGCTGGAGAGCTGCTCAGCGGTTAAGACGGGAGCTGGGGCTGGAGAGATGCTCAGAGATTCAGGGCACTGGCTGCTCTTGCAGAGAACCAGGGTTTGGTTCCCAGCACCCACACGGCAGCTAACTGTCCAAAACTCCAGTTCCAGGGGATCTGACACCCTATTCTGACCTCTGTGGGCACTGCACGACATGGGTACACTTATGCACATGCAGGCAATACAGTCATACACATAATAAAGTATCTTTTTAAAAAGTTAGAAGCAGATGCATTTCCTTGGCCCTACGCATCCTTACCACTAGATGGCAACTTTGGCTAGGTAATATGAATCCCCAGGCCTGAAATACACCCAAAAATCGCAGTGGCCGCATGTTGTGGATGATGTGGGCAGTTCTGTCTTAGCAGCTGTGTCTGGTGATGGGGATACATGGCTGGTGTATGTGTTCGTCTCTGTCCTGGCACTTGGGACTACATGTTCCCCTAACTCCTTACTGGAAGGAAGTATCCAAGGCAGGGGCCATGACAGTCTCTTCTATGTCTGGCACTCAAGCCCAGGGCAAGAACTCCACAGCATCCCATGGGGCCACAGCAAAATGGATGTATCTAGGCCTCACGTGGCTAGCGGAGCGGCTCACCTTTGCCTGCTGCCGGAGACGCACAAGCACTGGATGTAAGGCTCAAAGCAGACCCCGAGGAAGAGGATTTCCTCAAGAGACTAGTGGTACAGCTGGGTGGCTTCAACAGGGACTTCTTCGGCCGCATTGTGACAAAAGATGAAGAAACAGAACCAAGAACTTTATTACCTACACACACACTTATTTCTGCAAAAGTAGAGCTTAAAAATAGTTTTTAGTACTAACTGTCATCTTTACAGAAAAAAGTTAAAGCGATGCAGTCACCCCTCAGACCCCACGGGGAACTACTCTGAGGACCCTGCAGAAACCCAAACCCTCGGATCCTTGAGTCCCTCATGTACAGTGTGGTGTTTACAGCGACTCAGCATATATCCACTATGTACTTTAAATGATCTCCAGATGACTTGTAACTCCCAATTTCATGTAAAAGCTATGTAGGTTGTTACACTGCGTCACTCAATGAAGAGAAGTGTTTGGTACAGTTACAACTCTGCTCACGAATATTTTCAACTTAACTGGTTGAGTCCACAGATGGGGAACCAATGGACTTGGAGGGCAGACGAAGCTTCTCAGAGCACCATTTTGACACCTTCACTTAAGAAATGTATAGGAAGCTAGCCGTAATGCACTTCTGGGGGCCCAACTGTAGGTCCAGCTTTCGGCAACTTTAAGTGACTTAACACACAGCTCAGAGAATCACAGTGAGGACATTAATGCTGAAAAGCAGGGCTCCCCTCCTGCCTCTGAGCTGGGATTTTCCAAAACAGCCACACCTCGTGTCTTCCAAGCCCCTGGACAGGGAATGCCACTGCAGTCATGGGCAAACCCGGAGTGCAGGGCTTCTCAGCCGCACAGCTCCTGAGGGGCAGAGGCCAGCTCAGATCACAACGCCGGGCCTGTCTTCTTTGCTATCATTTCTCCAACTGCCTCTGTGGGTTGTTTGCAACTTTCCTAACTAGATTTGTGTGTGTTCATGTGAAGACGACGACTTGGCTAACACGCCTCCAGTACTGTCAACCCCCCTCCCCACCTTTTTGAGACAGAGTCTCACAGTGTAACTCTGGCTGGTATGTAGTCCAGGCTGGCCTAGAATTCAGAGATCTGCCTACTTCTGCCTCCCTTCCAAATGCTGGGATTAAAGATGTGTGCCATCATGCCTGCCCATCTTTTTGTTTTTGAGACAGAGACTCACTAGCTTGAAGTTCACCAAGTAGGCTAGGCCAGCTGGCCAGCAAGCCCCAGGAATCTAACTGTCTCTGACTCTCCAGTGTGGAGATTAAAAGTGCATGGGACCACACCTGGCTTTTTTTTCTGTTTTGAGATAGCATCTCCCAGTAGCCCAGTTTGCCTAGAATTCACTACACAGACCAGGCTGGCCTCAATCTCACAGAGATCCACTTGCATTTGCCTTCCCAAGTGCTGGGATTAAAGGTGTGTACCACCAGGATGCCTAGTTTTACCATGAGTCTGGAGATCTAACTTAGGTCCCCACAAGCACTTTACCTACTGTCTCTCCACTCCCAACTTGATTTATTCAAGACACACCTCTTGTATTCAAAACTGCCACCTTGTTCCTTGGATGACAGGAGGCAACACCAGCCAACTCACCTTGTTAGGAATGCGGAGAGACCTCTTGCCTGGGCCTGGGTGGCTTCCTCTAGTCAGCAGGCTGGCGGCATCCGGAGCAGTGCTGGGTTTGTCTGGAAGCACATCCCTATGGGATTCCTTTTCATTCAGTTTTATCCTCTGAAGACTAGCCGGTACCTCCTTCTTGGGCTGAAAATGTTAATTTGAAATGTGAGAACTATCTAGTCTAAGGAGGCTCAGAGCTGGTGCCATTTCTCCCAAACACTGCCACACTCAACCCATCTTCTAGTGTGAGAGAAACGTGGCCTCTCACTAAAAGGGGGGGTGGGGTGCGGCAGGTGCTTGCAGGAGAGAGAGCTCTAGGCTCCTCCTGAGGCCCACACTTGCGGGGAGGGGTGTCAATGAGACTCCAGCCACACACGTTCTAAATGCTGTAGGGAGCGGTCTGTTCATTGCATAGCTGCCCTCTACCACTGAAATGGCTCAACCGCCCTATGGCTTTGTGTCTAGTGCCAAAGCCCCATACTCTGACCTGCCAAGTCAAGTCAAGAAATATGCTGACATATTTAGGGACAAGGGTGTCCACGGAACTGCTCCAAGTACACAGACAGTCCAGGGCAGCAGCCAGCAGTCACCCAGTCATGAGGGTGCAGCAGTAATGACTTTCTTCTACAGCATTTTAAAAACTAAGATATGCTTCATATGACATAACTCTCGCCCAGTGGCTTTTAGTATATTCCTGTGCTGGGAACCCATCCCACAAGGTAATTTTAGAACATTTCCCACTAAAACAAACTCACAGCCATTAGCAGTCACTGCCTGCCCCGCCAACTCCCCAGCCCAAGACAGCCACCTGCCTACACCCCACAGCTGGCTTCACTAATGGAGTCACACAGTACTAACCTCTTGTGTTTTCAAAGGTCATCGTGTGGGCATTGTTACGGCAATACCTTTTACTGGGAAAACCATCCCATTATTTGGTTGTGCCCCACTTTATCCATCTAGTCATCACTTAATGGGCATCTGAGTTGGCTCAACTTTTTGGTAGTCATGAACATTTGTGTTGAGTCGACGCAGTGTCCTGGTGTCCTGCCTGGTGTTCTGAACGTGATGTACCTGTCTTTTCCTACACAAATCCTGCCTGTGTGCACTTCATGCACAAATCCTGTTCCACATCCACATGTGCTGCACACAAATCCCATCCTGAACATCCCGATCTCAGGAAGGGAACATGTGAAGTCAAGAAGGGGTTACAGCTAGGAAAGGGGGGTGTCTAGGGCCTCCCCTCCCAACAACCCCTCAGAGCCACTCCCTTTCATTGCAACCCACAATATGGCAGAGTTGAGGCAGGGCAGAAGGCCCAGTGTGACACTACCTCACCTGGCTACCTGGTGCCTCTCCTCTTCTGGAAACCCCTCCCCTCCACCAGCCCCAAAGCTCAGAACAGGCAAACCTGAAAGCAAGCCATCTCTAACACCTGCCCTTTGCTGACCCCCACCAAGCCTTCGGTACCCTGAGTTTCCCAGTTGCTGACTGTAAACTCATCACCTGCTACTTCCCTGATGGCTTGGCTCAGGCAATGCCTGGGCAGAAAGAAGCATAAAGTCACTGCCCCAGAGCACAACCAGTGGCCATCCCAGAGCAAGGCTTAGCAAAAGAGGGTGGGCGGCTGGCCACTGCGGCAACACAAGATGAGTGGCTATCACAGAACAGAACATGGGAGGAGTTCTAAAGCAGGCACCGGCCACTCACTTCCAAGCCCACCCCAGGCAGCTCCCCACTCCCTGAATCGGTCCACTCCAGGGCTCCCCTATACCCTCCCACAAGGCCTCGACGGCAGGGTGTGAGCTGAGAGGGGAGAGGCAGGAAGTTGGTGTGCCCAGGAAACTGCTGTGCACTTTACCTTCTCTGTGGCCAGGGGAAGGTGCCTCCCTCTCACGGGCCTCCCACAAGGCCTCCACGGCAGGGTGTGAGCTGAGAGGGGAGAGGCAGGAAGTTGGTGTGCACTTTACCTTCTCTGTGGCCAGGGGAAGGTGCCTCCCTCTCACGGGCAAAGCTCGGGGTGGCTGTAGCTTGCTGGCAATCCTCTTCTGAGGACCAGCTTGATTTGGAGGCTGAGAGGAACACGGCTGCCCTGGGTTGTTCTGGGTCGGTACAGGGCCAGTTGGGACAGGGCCAGCCAGGGCAGGGGCACTGGGCAGGGCTGGGGAGGAGGCCAGGAGCAGGGGCTCCCCTGAGGGAGGCTGATCCCCCGAGAGCTGTGGCACCGTCAAGGGGCTGCCTGACAGGCAGAATGTCTCTCTTTTAAGTAACATGGGGCTTTTTTCCACTTTCTGTTCTTTTTCAAAGAGACTTATTTTTAATTTCGAGTCCTGGATGAATCTCTCCGTGCCCTGGTTCCCAGCATTTCCGGGCTTGGTAGCCTGGGCCACCTCTCTTCGGCTGTGGCTTTCTATCTGTAAGGCCAGTAAGTGGGCTTCTTTGTACACCTCCACGAACTTCTCCCCAGTGAGAGGGCTCCAGGTACATGGGCTGCCAGAGGCTGCTGCAGAAGGCTGCTCGGGAATCTGATGATTTAATTCCAAGCCAGCAGCAATGCATCTTTCTTTATGCCCAACAGGTCCAAAAAAGACTTCATCATCCTCATTTGCACTGATTTAAAGAAAGAGTATGAAGGATGGGTAATGCTGGCACCCAAATGAAGGGCTCCACTGAACGTGGCTGTGCCCAGGACAAGGGAAGAAAGAAAATCACTTACCTCAAAGAAGACAAGGAGAGATCGAAGTCAAACTTTTCATCAGCCAAAAGAAGAATGTCTTGGGGAGACGGGGAGGAAGAACATCCACATTACTTTAGGGTAGGATGAGACCGAGGAAACATAACCAGTGTCCACAGATTTCACAGCTACAGTAAAAGACTGCTGTTCTAACGTAATCACATTTTCACAGGCAACACTGCAATACACCCTATTTTCCACTTTCATTTCACAGTTCCATGAGCCATTCTGTCTGCTGCCCTACCTCTAAGATACAGAACCTCACTTCTGGAATATCCACAGACCATCCCAAGAGTTCCCAAGAAGGCTGTCACCTTCAGGCACCAGATATTCACAGAAGGCCACCTACCTCTGCTCCTCAGGAATTAAATTCCCCTTTGTAAACAAGATACCAATCATCCTTCAACAGTGAGCCCAGGCTTATTCAAACGCAGAGACTCAGTATCTGTGGCCCATGATCCTTCCTTGTCCACGTAAAACTGCACTGTCCCTCACCCTGCCCATATTTCCATCATAGCCTTTTTGCCCATGCCACAAGAGGGAACCCATGTTTGGTACTGCAAATTAGGACAAAAACCCATGCACGGGGGAGGCTGTAGGCTCTAGTGGGGAAGCCACTGTTGTTGTTTTGTTACATGGTTATGACACACCTGTTAAATTGCCTTCTAAACATTCATGTTTGTTCCCATAGATTACTGTTGTTGTAAGCCTCAGTCAGAGAAACTCCTTTTAGCAGTGAGCAGCAGTTAATACACTATTAAGTCTCACAACTGGTTAGTGAAGACATAATTGTTACTGTGGCACAGTGACCCAATGCTCAGCCATGAAAGGGAGAAAATAACTGTAACCTGTGTCAACCCTCCAAGGCTCAGGAACATCACAGAAAGAATGTAAAGGGCTGGCAAGATGGCTCAGCAAGTCAAGGCACTTGCCACCAAGCCTGATGGCTGGAGTTTAATCCCTGACCCACATGGTGGACAGAGAGAGAACTGACTCCTGCAAGTGGTCCTCTGACCTCCATACATGCACCATAGCACGTATGCACCCCCCCCACACACACATACACACTAAATAAATGTAAATTTTTTAAAAAATTTCAAAACAATTTAAGAGCCAGTGCTGGGGTAAGTGTAGTACGCTGTCCTCTGGACATGACAAAGCCATTGCCACTCTGATATCACAGCAACTGGCACCCATTAATTGTGGAGTGGGGGAGACCCCTCTGAAGATATGTAAGTGGTTTACAATTGCAGGAGGGAGGCGGGAGACTCATAGCTACCTACAAGCTGCTCGTGGTCCTGTAAGTGACCCGCACTCCAATTACATTCACTGGCTCACGAAGCCAGGGTTACATGGACTTGCCTCTGTGGCCTGCTGTCTCCCTCTATTTGGGGGGCCTAGAACACCGCCCCCAACATGCCTGAACATGTCGCCGGAATGGAAAGGGCTTACCTCCCTTCTTAGCAGCATCCATCTTCGCCTCTCGGGTCCGGCTGCGCCCTCCGTCCATGGAGCGACTGTCAGGGGTCTGCTGTAGAGAGGAAGGGGACCAGGAGTTGAGGGGACAGACCAGGCCCAGCTGTTTCCACCTGGACTCACGGTGCGACCCCACAACACACGCTGCGGAGGGCCCGTCGGAGTGATGAAGGCTGCGGTACCAGGGACCCCAGGGACCGGCGCCCTGAAACCCGGTGGGCAACGGACTCCAGCGACCAGCTGTAGAGGTGGGCCCATCGCCCTAGCCCGCCCCCGGCCCCCATCCTCGCATCCCCCCGTCCCCCCCGTGCCCCTTCTTCGCTCTTTCCAGACAGAAGATGGTCAGACAGGATGGTTAGACAGAGGAGGGTCAGACAGAGGAGCATCAGACAGAAGATGGTCAGACAGGATGGTTAGACAGAGGAGGGTCAGACAGAGGAGCATCAGACAGAAGATGGTCAGACAGGATGGTTAGACAGAGGAGGGTCAGACAGAGGAGCATCAGACAGAAGATGGTCAGACAGGATGGTTAGACAGAGGAGGGTCAGACAGAGGAGCATCAGACAGAAGATGGTCAGACAGGATGGTTAGACAGAGGAGGGTCAGACAGAGGAGCATCAGACAGAAGATGGTCAGACAGGATGGTTAGACAGAGGTAGGTCAGACAGAGGAGGGTCAGACAGAGGAGCGTCAGACAGAAGATGGTCAGACAAGATGGTTAGACAGAGGTGGGTCAGACAGCGGTGGGTCAGACAGGAGGGTAAGACAGAAGATGGTCAGACAGGAGGGTCAGACAGAGGAGCGTCAGACAGGATGGTTAGACAGCGGTGGGTCAGACAGGAGGGTCAGACAGAAGATGGTCAGACAGAGGGTCTGAGACAGGAGGGTCAGACAGGAGGGTCAGACAGAGGAGGGTCAGACAGGAGGGTCAGACAGAGGGGGGTCAGACAGGAGGGTCAGACAGAAGATGGTCAGACAGGATGGTTAGACAGAGGAGGGTCAGACAGAGGAGCATCAGACAGAAGATGGTCAGACAGGATGGTTAGACAGAGGTAGGTCAGACAGAGGAGGGTCAGACAGAGGAGCGTCAGACAGAAGATGGTCAGACAAGATGGTTAGACAGAGGTGGGTCAGACAGCGGTGGGTCAGACAGGAGGGTAAGACAGAAGATGGTCAGACAGGAGGGTCAGACAGAGGAGCGTCAGACAGAAGATGGTCAGACAAGATGGTTAGACAGAGGTGGGTCAGACAGCGGTGGGTCAGACAGGAGGGTCAGACAGAGGAGGGTCAGACAGGAGCGTCAGACAGAAGATGGTCAGACAGGAGGGTCAGACAGAGGAGGGTCAGTAGAAGATGGTCAGACAGGATGGTTAGACAGAGGAGGGTCAGACAGAGGAGCATCAGACAGAAGATGGTCAGACAGGATGGTTAGACAGAGGTAGGTCAGACAGAGGAGGGTCAGTCAGACAGGAGGGTCAGACAGAAGATGGTCAGACAGGATGGTTAGACAGAGGGGCTGGTCTTCAACCCTGAGAGATTCACTTGCCTCTGCCTCTCCAGTGCTGGGATTAAAGGCATGCAGCCACCACACTTGACTTTGACAATGTTGTTAATTACGTGTATGTATGTATATATGCCATGTGCCTGTGACTGTAGGTGCCCACTGCTGCCAGAGGTATCAGATTACCCTCGAGCTGGAGCTCCACCTGGAGCTGCTGGACCAGGGTGCCTGGAAACAAACTCAGATCCTCTGAAGAGCACTGTGATCTCTTAACCACTGAGCCATCTCTTTGGCCACATTTATCAACATTTTAAATACAGGCAGGAGCTGACCCTGTACCTGCACAGCTTACCTGGCTTCCCTACCCTGGGAGGAAGCAGGTGAGGTTATATGAGGGGAGAGCCCCCAAGGCAGGAGCAGATCTGTGGTTGATGGCAGAGTACAGCCCGGACAGTGTCCTGCAGGGAGGAGGGATCTTTAGGGGAGGGGAGAGCCATTCCACTGTAAGCCCTAACTCAAGACCAGTTTGGGCCGTTCAGTGTCTCAAAACCGGAAGAAAACGAAAGAATAAAATTGGGAGATGTAGCTCAGCGGTACAGGCCTTGACTACCGTGCATGAGGCTCAGGGCTCAATCCCCAGCAAAGGGAGGGAAAATGACCACTATCTCAGGACTCCCCATGCCTCCTAAGGGGCTCATGTCCCAGAAAAGGGGCCCAAGTAGGGGACAGGCTGGACCAGGGAAGCCCAGCTTTGCCGGCGCTCTGACCCGCCTCCCCGGGCTTCGTCATATGGCAAAGTGAATACCAAGGCTCACGTCCCAGAAGGTGGAGTTCAGGAGCCCAGAGCAGGGGAGGATGTGGATTTTCCTGCACGGAGCCCCAGGCTGGGTACTCCCGGCCTGGAGGCGGGCCAGGTCCCTGCAGGGCACAAGGCAAGTGCTTCCAAAGCCACCAGTGAGCAAGCAGGACAGCGTCCCGCCCACTCCCCGCCTACGCCCCGCCTCCTTCCTCCCTCCACACTTAGCACTCAGGCTCCTACCCACAAGGCCTCCGGACACTGCAGATCCCTGCCCAGGTAGTCCTCACCCCGTAAAGCAATGCAAAGCTGCACAATGTCACTGAGAGACTGCCAGGTATGCGCTCCCCTCGACTGGGTCCTCCTTACCCCCCTTGGCTTGGCCCTGCGTGGTGAAGCAGGATGTGCCTGCAGGGCGCCTGAGTCAGAGGGGACCTGTGCATCCTCAGCAGCACTTGGAGGGGACTATGGGGTGGTCCCCACCAAGGGACACCAGCAGGGCCTGTCAGGGTTGCGGGGAGCCCCCAAGACCTTCTCCAAAATCTGTTTACTGGGCTTAGGGCCGGCGAGCTTCTCCTTTGAAGCCACCCAAGGCTGGGACCTTGAGCCCATTTTGCAGATGAGATGATGGTCAGAGGGGTGAGGCAACTGGACTGAAGCCACCTCATTTCCTGGTCTTGAGAGATGTAGCCCCTTTCTGGCCAGGACTAAAGTGCATGTCCTCTGCAACTGGGAGTCATGGGCACAGTGCCCCTGCCTTAGCAGGTCATTGAGGGCAGCCATTACAATCTGAAGGCATCAGGTTTACTACCTAAAGGCTTGGTCTGAAGATGAGAGGAGGGATTTGTTGTTGGTAGGTGGTGCCCACCTTGCCAGACAGGTGACAAGCCTAATATCCTTCAAGATACACCTTAGCACACTAATCCCCTCCTCTGGGGGCCAGGCCTTCCATCCTCTCCTGATGACTGGGACTTAATTTATTGTCTGTCCTTGAGATGACACTTGATGTCACCCCACTGGGCTTCCCATAGGACCAATTTACAGAGGGGCAACCAAGGGTTTGGGGCTCATCAGAATAAGGCCCTGGTATTCCTTTCCTGCTGTGCAGGCCTGGAAGGATGCTGGTCTCCCACTCTCCACCACAAGTAATGAAGCCTGCAAGTTGTTTGATGCCACCTTGACCCAGGTATGCCTGCTGAGAGACAGCTCACCCTCTGCCCATCCCCAGCAGTCCCTTTCCCAAGGTCCTCAGTGTGAGGTGGGCAGCAGTGAATGCCCCAAAGGGGGCTGAGAGTGCTCAGCCTCCACAAATACCCCACTGCTGAGGTAAGTGGCCTGCTGTGGGTTTGCTGGGGCCTTGGCCATGAGTACATGGGATCCTGGGGCTCACCTGGCTTTAGCCAGGCCAAGACCTTCTATGCAATTCTAGGCACTTCCACACCTGTGAAGGATCCTGTAATTCCTGAACTTGGCAGCTCAAGTGTGGTTGGGGGGTATCAGCGTTGGCTATGCCTTGGCCCTTCTGAGCCCCACCTGCCTTGCTGAGTGACTTCACTGGGTCTTTGGATCTGCCTGTCTGCTCTGTGTCTACCACCAGCCCACTTGCCCTGCCTGCACCTTGTTGACCCCACACCCCACATTCCTTGATTCAGCAGCAACCATCGGCATTTAAAAATAAGATTTGAAACAGACACACCAGTCTGTGAAAAATCTGATGAAATTAAAGTAAATTTACCCTTTAGCCTTCGAGTGTCTAACTCTACAATGAACACCTAATGTAGTCTTTTTATGTCTTACACAGTAGTCCAGGCTGGTCTATAATTTACTGCAAGCCTCCTGAATCAGCCTGCTGATTGCTGGGATTATGTGTGTGAGCCACCACACGCTGCTTCCTGTGGTGACTTTTTTTTTGGTCTTTTTGAGACAGGGTTTCCATGTAGACCAAACTGACCTGGAACTCACTGTGTAGACCAGGCTGATCTTGAACTCACAGAGATCCACCGGGCTCTGCCTCCCAAGTGCTGGGCCTTTTGGGACTAAAGGCAGCTCCTGTGGTGATTTTTAAGAGAAAGGAAGCAGGAATTGCCAGAGAGACTCCATGACTTCCTTTCTGCTAAACGAAGGGACATACAAGAGGTAGGGTGGTGCACACGTTTAATCTCAGCCCTGGGGAGGCAGAGGCAGGAGGCTCTCTCAAGATAGGCCAGCCTGATCTCCAGGCAGACTGAGACTAGGGAGACACTTTAGAAAAAACAAAACAGAACAAAAACAAAGAAGCAGAACACCAGCCCACCTGCCCTGCCTGCACCTTGTTGACCCCACACACCACATTCCTTAATTCAGCAGCAACCATCAGCATTTAAAAAAGATTTGAAATAGAAATACCAGTCTATCAAACACAAGATGATATTAAAGTAAATTTACCTTTCAGTCTTCGAGTCTCTAACTCTACAGTGACCAACAACTTTGGTCTTTTTGTGTCTCACACAGTAGCCCAGGCTGGCCTATAATTACAGCAAGTCTCCTGCCTCAGCCTCCTGATTGTTGGGATTACAGGTGTGAGCCGCCACCCCCTGCTTCCTGTATTTTTAAGGAAACACAGCAAGAATTGTGTGAGAGACTCCAAGGTTTCCTTTGAGGTTAAAGAAAGGGACATATGGCAGGTCACCTTTTGGGAGGGACCCACCTTTCATTAATTCTTGTTGGGTGGTGAGCATCACCAGTACCTAGGAGGGGTCCTCCAGGCATGGGTATTGAATCTCTTCCTAGAAGATCAACTAAGTTCTCCTCTCTTTGATTTGGAGTCCATAAAATGCTCAGTATTCCAGAAAGAAAAACTATCCAGGCCTGGGAGCATGGCTCAGAGGAAGAGGCTCTTTGGCAGCTCCTCCTCCCCGATCTGCATTTAGATACATGCCTTCCTTAATATGATCTCAGGGCTCTGCAGGACAGATGTGTTTCACATTTCTTATTTCAGTTTGTGACATGGACCAATGACTCGAGTCTTGGTGGCCTAGAGGGCTGCCTCGCAAAGCTCAAAGCAGCGGATCCTACTTTTGGTGAGTAGACCTCTCCCTGGGTGGAAGAGCCCAGCACACACACCCAAAGCCTCTCCTCCCCTGACTGCAGGCACTCTGTAGGGCTGGGGAGGGCAGGTTGAGGGCAGTGCTGGGCTGACACTGACTCAGAGGAGGGACCATGACAGCTCCCTCTGTGTTTCAAGCAACGGCTGCTCCTATGGGGACACAGTTACATAGAAGACTCCAGATCTTGTCTCTCATTGCCCTCAGTTCTACCTAAGACACTGACTCCATTTCTCAGATGTGGAAACAGGTTCGGTGAGGGTAAAGACACATGCCCAGAAATGTCTGGATCTAAAGCACAGGCCCAAGAAGCAAGGGGACAACTTCTGAAGCCTCTGTCAGGGGACTAGGGAGGCTCCTCAGAGCCACTAGGGCTGAGGGCAGGAGTAGGGGAGGGGCATCCTGGCACAAGGGCAAGTCTTGCAAGTCTCAGGCTGGGGGAAGTCAGCCCAACGCATTCTAGAGCTCTGAGTGAGAGGCCAAGTGTGAGGAGAGGTTCCAAGGTTAGACAACCGAGAAGAGGAGAATGGAAGTGGGGCAGCTCCTGCTGCAGCTTGGCCCAGCCAAAGCCAGGGGCCTCAGCTGCCCTGGGAGGACAGAACGGCCAAAGAATCAGGAAGTGTAGCCACAGGGGCAGCTAGTGGCCAGCATGGGCTCAGGCTAGGAGCAGGGCCCCATGCCAGGAGAAGGAGGTGTCTTAGTACTGTGCTTGGGTGTTTGGTTCCAAGCCAGGACCAGTGACTGAGTTCCACACAGCAGGAAACACCCAGCCTCTCTAAAGATGGCTGTGGGAAGCCTCGGTAGAACCTGGGATCTCATACCTTCTGCAAGGACCACCCAGCCCACCATCAGCATGTTAGGTTGGCGAGTCAGGATCACACGTCTGTATCTTGTCGACCCGGTTCCCTGAAGAGCATCCACTGAGCACCCCCAGGAGGCCTCGGCTGGCTATTGGGATGTTTCCAGCCCATGAGCCCCCAAGCAGCCTCTGTCAGCCTCATAAGGGCAGAGGGAATTACTGCAGACATCAGGGCTTACCAGAACGCCCTGTTAGAAAAACAGCCATGGGTACTTGGATCCTTAGAGGGTTCTGCTCCTCCACTGCCCACCGAAGGCCAGGGCTGAGCCTGGGGTTTGGTGGGGCCCCTCCTCAGTGAACCTGCACCCAGCCTGGCAGGTTTTGTTGGGATGCCTGTTTCACAGAAGGGGCCCCAGCCAGGCTGGGCTCAGCCACAGCTGTTTCCCATCCTCCTGGCAGCCATGGGCCATGCCATCTCTAATGGCCTCGTACTCGTTGGCACCGGAAGCTCTGTGAAGCTGGACAAAGAGCTGGACCGGGCTGTGAAGACGATGGTGGAGGTTTCCAGAGCCCAGCCGCTGACACCTCGGGAGCAGCTGCATGTGTCTGCAGTGGAGATGTTTGCCA